AGATGTTAAATAATTTAACCTAATAACAGATAGAATATAGAAAAGTATGTCTTTTAAATTGATTCAGACAAGATATGAACTCCACAATTATGCAAGTCTCAACTGCTAATACTACGGAAACATACCTACTTCCTGACGTAGATACCGTTTAAAAATTAGAGACAAAGTTGGATTTTTTTTATATTAGTTACTCAAGCAGGTCGACGGCCATCATACAATGGGTTGTAACAACGGCACATTTGAACAACTAAGTGAATGACGCCTGAGGACGCCCTGGCGCACTGAAACATTAATGAGCGAGGGCTAAAAGAGGGCTCAACATAAACGTCACTGTACTTATACAATGTAAAGGTTATGCTAAAAATAAAACGGCGCGCACAAATATAAGGCCCTTTGACGATCGGTGCTGTTGAGCAGACTTGATCCCTTTGAGTCCACCTAAACGAGAGCCCTGTTTGTTGGTTGCTTTTGTATGTTTGTCCCCGTTTATATTATGTGGCAGAAAAACAACAAACGACGAATGTTGTACATTTTTTAGTGGAAAAAATAAAAAGAATTTAATGAGAACGACCTTTCGACCCTGTTGCGTATAATATCCACAGAAATGTTTGGGAATTATAAATGTTAATTCTGTAATGGACTCAAATGCACCCTTTGATGTCCACATATTATGAGTAGAGATAAAATCATTGTAAATAATATATTATGTGGAGATTCTTCCTAAAGAATTATTACAGCTATATACAGGTGCGAACTTAGAGATAAATAAATATAATTACACTAAATGGACACTGTTAGAAATTCACAGAAATTATTTAGTACCTTATAGGACTCATTATATTGCTATATCAAACCTTTCATAGACAGGTTTATACTCTTTTTTTTTTTATACTACTTAGAATGGCAAACAAGCTGACGGCCCACCTGATGGAAAGTGGTAACCGTCGCCTATAGACATGAGCAGTACCATGGACATAACAGAGTATACCGTTTCTTTCGCCCATGATACCCCCCATGCATTGCCATTTCTGAGGACTCAGATATTATTCCTCTGTACCCTGTAAATTCACGCCATATCCTACCCTTCAAACCGAAACACAGCCATGCAGACACAACCGCTTTATGGTTGAAACACGGATGGGACAGAGGTACCCAAGCAATCGACTTTTGTACAGTCTCCCTCTGGTGAATATTAACTCACTGAGATATTAAAACCTAAAATTTAAACTGGTGTTTGTATATTTTTTCATTTCATATTTTTCCCAAGGAGTAAGATATTAAGACCTCCATCTATACCCAGTTATTTCTGGTATATCTCACTCTTTCTCTCACTTAAACCATATTATACAACCACTATTGCTTTGAAAAAAAAAATACCTAAAAGAAGAGAACCTAACTTAAAGACTATGGAGAGAAGGGATTGTTAGTAATGCAGACTACCAATCTGATTGCTAACAATATACCCTATCAGGTTGACCTCCCCATGGTCCCCCTGAAAACCATCATGTTGGATTCCAGATTTATTCATCATGATAAGCTAACTAACGTGCCCTTTCATTCTCACTTATTATTCCTCACTGGTGACCCACCAGTGTACACAATTAGTGCAGGCGGGGTTGCCAATTTCATTACAATCTATTTAAAAAAAAAAGAAAAATCTAAAGACTGTGAGAGAGATTGAATATAGTAATAAGATCAAACAGCCTTATTGCTAGCAATATACTTTATCCACAGGGTCTACCTCCACATGGTTCTCACTGGAAACTCTCACTAGTGCCCCACCAGTGTATGCTATTAGCATAGGTGGAGTTACAACAAGTAGTATATTATATCAAGAAGTCACCACACAAACAGTGAACTATAAAAAAAAACCTATTTACTATTAGGAAATCATGGACTTTAAAATTAAATACAAAACTAACTTCAAACTGTCTAATTAAATAGGTTTAATTGCAAAAATAATAGTGCTTATTTATTTGCGTGAGTGAATATTTAATGTTATTACTTACTAAGTAAGTAAGTTAGTGATAAAATTATACATGTGATTGACATTATCAAAGTTGCATTAAGAAATTATAACTTATCTGTTCAATAAGAAAGATATTTTCTATTAATAATATTATTACAACATTACAGATTGAACTTTGTTTTAATACAATGGTAATATATTTTATCTGACAATAAGAGAATCAACTGTGTGTAGTTCTGACTCTTGAACTAACATTAATTATATATTTTCAAGCTAGTTAAATAAATATCTGGATATTCCAACTGTGAACTAGGAAATTTAACAAGTCATGTTTGACATATAAGCAAAAAGGTTGTACCACACCAAGTCTAGTTCAGAAGAATTTAGATGAGAGTGGTGATATGTTCCAATGAAAGAAAGCATGCCTAGTAAAGTTATAGCTTATAGATATAATCAAGAAGAAACTCTCAAAAACTACAGGTGAATCAGTGGATGATAATGAAATAGTAACCCCATCTGTGCTAATGGTATACACTGGTAGAGCACCAATGAGGGATGATAGGTGAAAATGAAAAGACAAATCAGTTAGCCCATTGTATTGAACACACCTGGAATTCAACATACTGGTTTCTAGGGGAGACTACATGGAGGTTGACCTGGTTGGGCATATTGCTAACAATGGGATTGGTAGTCCGCATTACTAACAATCCCTTCCCACCATAATTCACATAAGTGAATAAGAACAGATCAGGTCAGATAGACATGATAAAATAATATAATTGAGTTGCCAGAAATACAGTTGATATCTCAGCATCAGTGATTGAGAGCAGAATGGCCAATTATAATCTCTTCCATTGCTTATGGCCCTCCAACAGGACCTACTACATAGTTTGAGTTATAATACTAATTACAACGCCAATATTTTTTGTCTTTGGTTCCAAAACAATTACTTGTCTCATTATTCTGATTGACACTATCCTTAGTGGAGCATATCCAAAATGTAATACAGAAAAAGTCTTCACTTATCAGAAAAATCTTTAAGGTTTTTTAATAGATGAAAATGGAATGATGATACCATTCCATGCACTGGACTATAAATTTACTCATACAAAGTACCAGTAACAGGTGATAAAATCTCAGTTTCACCATTCCAATTAATCCTACCAAAAAGAATAGAAAAAAAACAACTGATTTGTAGATCCACATAGTCTTCATAGTGTTCCAAATTTAATTATTTTTTATATGGAGGGTAGTGGAACAAAACTGATTCTATACCACAAATATTTCCAAGGATCTTGCATCTAAGAGATACCCTCTACATTGCTAGCAGAAGAAGAGGGTACTTCGAAAAAACACTATCATTTATGTATAAGGATGTAATGTAATGTAAATAGGACTCTATTTTCCGCGCTTAGCCTCTCATTTGGGCTGTTAATCATATGAGTCTTGACTAGTACAGCCAACCTAGCTTCATCAGAAGCATAGAAGCTTCCTGGGATCTTCACAGGCCTTTCGGAGTGACCTTACCATTCCGAGGATTTCTAAATGTTTATGGGCCACAGCTTCACATTCCAGGATTACGTAAGCAGCTATTTCTTCAGCGTTGAAACAGCCTCAACAGAGGGCTGTCTGTGGCTACTATTGTGTATAAATGTTTGTTTAATGGACAATGGCCTGTTATTGTCCCTATCATTATTTTGAGGTTTTTCCAATCTAGATGTAATAAATGTTTTGATAGTCATTGATTCAATGTAGGCATGGCCAATTTTGATCCTCTGCAATCAGTAGCCTGTATCCATCTTTGGTTTTGTATGTCAGCGGATCTTTGACAAACCCATATTCGAAATTGCAAGAATAGAAGAGGAAGAAGTGGATACGGACCTACCACCCTCGTTTCTGAACCTCTTCTAGCTAGTTCATCTGCAGCATTGTTACCATAAGATCCACTGTTCCCTTTTATCCATTGGAGGATAACTCGGTTATTGGAAGATATACAGTGAATGGTGGCATTCAATTATTAATTTGTTTATGTATGAGGATAAGAGATTTAAAGTTATTGTCTATGTTATATTGTATGGCCATTATAAAGTAAGGATAAGGTTTCTTTATAATTATTATTACATTAGAAAACAAATTAATAATCTTCCATAAGGTAAATAAACCTGTTGAACTGTAACTAAACTTTAGAAACTAATATAATTTACCAACAATCCTCATATATAATTTCACATTTATAATATTATAAATGTGAAATTTGACAAGAATATATAGATTTTAATTTAATATAGATAAAGTCTGAATACACACATATGTGAAAAATACCTTAACCCTAATCTATAAGCAAAGCTATAAGACACATCTGAAATGTAAAATAATAAGATAGTACTTAATAAATGTATTTAGATAAAAATAGGTGTCAATAGATGAAGAGATCTGACATGAAGACAAGTATATTCCTAAATTTGTAGTAATATTAACAGTAACAATCCAATTATACATCTATTAGCAGATACATAGTCAATCAACACTAATACCTAAGTTTAAGTATTGAAATTTAGATATGTTCACATGGTATTAAATATTAGACATTTGCTCATGTTAAGTTTTTGTCGCCAAAATTCGTTTTTATTTGTAATAAGTAAATACGAAATTGTATGTAGGTAGTTGTGCATCCCAAATGGAACACACTAACTTAATCAATAATGGCGACAAATTAAATTTATTATTAACAAGTATAATCAAAACGAAAATATATTTAGTTGCATCGAAAAAAAGTGCATTATTTTCGGGAAATAGTACTTTCTCATATGATTTTAACTAATGTAAACAAACAGCAATACATAGACACCCATAACATCTACCCACTAATAAACACAAAATGACGTATAGAACTATAGATTCAATTTAAATGTGTAATCCCATCGACTAGTATAAAATTCTATTAACTATTCAGTCACAATATCGGTAAATTTATGAAAACGGTACAAAAACGTTACCTACATTTCTACAAACAATGAAGACAAAAACTTACCGTTTTACGACCATGGTAGAATCCGTAGAATCGCCTGTGGACCCTATGATTCGAACTATACTTTACAAATGACACTAACGTTATATAAAACACCATGAATTTTATTAATCCACCGTCAATTCAATTTTATAAATTCACACATCGCTAAAAAGCGATATACGCACTGATCCTCATTATTACACCAACCTCGATTTTACACTGCACTTGTAAAAACATGTAAGCAAAGCAATACTTTAATATAAAATGTGGATCACACCTCACTCTTACAACGATTACAAAAAAAAAATGGTAAATAAATCGCAGTAATAATGAACACAATAACGTTTGAGATATTTATCTCGTAAACACAAACTAATGGTAAATGTGTTTTTAGAATACTGTCAACGTCTGACAACTTCAGATTGAACAGTTTGTAATAGTTCAAACTTCACTTCGATTCTGTACATGTTAGCCAATATAAGATAAAAATAAAGCTATGAATACATATACGTCCCACTAAGACAACCTACAAAAATTAATGAATGAGGGCGTATAAATATTTTTTTTCTTTTTAGATGAATGAAAAATTTTCAAATCGGGTTGGAACCGACGGAGTTATGAAGTAATAAACATAAAAACATACGACCGAATTGAAAACCTCCTTCTTTTTAGAGTCGGTTGAAAAGCATAGTTTGTAATCCATTAAAAAACTACTTGCATAATAGTTACTATTCTTCATCTAAGATCTAGGATCTTTTTTTTCCAAGTTAATGGACACTGTCCTAAAACTATCAGTAATGGATGCCAACACATAGACATTATCTCTGTGTACCAACATTAATAAAGCCTGCTGTTTACTACGAAATTTGAATTCAAATAGGGAGGTTAATACTTACCCATTTGTCCCACAGACAGAACACTTGTATAATATACTAGTTCCAGGTCACAACGAACAAAAAATATTTGAATGACATCTATTCAAACAGTTCAATATATAAAAAAAAAATATTATTATAGAGCATTAGGGATTTTATGATATCAATAAAAATCGATATTTTGAACAAAGGCATAATTATATTGTATAAAACTGAATATTAATTGGATTTATTGTAGTTGTACTTCACCACTTTCGTCAATATAATAGAAGTGCCGACTCTTAAATTATTTATTTCTTGCTGTATATAACACATTGTTTTGTATAATTTAAAAGCTGTTAATGTGCAAATAATAGTGCGCCTCTAGTGAGCGATTTAGGAACTAAAACTTTCTACTTAATCAGAAGTTTGTTCGTAAGGATATGTAAACAAGAAAAGTAGAAAGTAAATTTTATTTCAACTAGCAACTGGGAAGCAGTTGCGCTTCATAATACCATTTTTCTAATATTTATCAATCGTTCATGAAGTACTTACACAATGTTTGCTGTTATAAAGCAAGTCAGTTGAACTATCATACATTACTATCTAATATTATTATTAATATATTTATTCTTAGCTAATATCAATATCTGGGGTAATGTATTCTATGTCGTGTGGTCCCGGCATAAAATGGACCTTACCCCTTCCTTTTCCCTCGGTGCCGTAAGAGGCGACTAGGGAACTTATTGGTCGAAGGATGAACAACAAACATGGCTTAAAATATTAACAACATGGCTTAATAGCCTAACTGCGGTTGCCAAGGGGGGAAAGTAATGGGGTCTCACTGCCCCATTGCCATATTGCAATACACCCTGTCAGGTCGACCTCCACGTGGTTCCCCTTGGATATACAAATAGTAGTATAAATAGGTAGGTAAATAACAAAAAAACTTACCCACCCCATTGTTACAAGTCCTCTGTAGGGTGTCACTAACTTGAGTTTACGTCTTAAATATGTCCTTAAGTAATTATTTATATAAGATATATTTTGTAACAATGTGAAATCATTCAGCAGCTTAACATGAAATTTGCTTTTAATGCATTTTCTATAAATTTCTTCTTGTCTCTTACACCTTATACCCATTTTAATACTGTTGTTTACTAAAAAAATAAATAGGAAAATTGTTTATATATTAATATTTTCTGTTATCATAAATACACAATATCACTTATTGACTGACTAGAATTATATCTACACCAAACCGAGACTACTCATTTATGCTGCGAGCAGTTTCATTTTATAAGGAGAGCCGCGACGTCACGTGTTCAAATTCAAATCAACAAAGCGTACATGTAGCAACAAGTTTCGTCAATGAATAATGGGGTGGAACTATGGACACTTCCATATATTCTATCTTATAGAAGTCATAAGAGGACGAACATCCCAGATTTCCATTTCCAAATTTACTATACTAAGTGCTTACGTTAATAAGTGTGGTGATCTATTTAGCTTAGCGCTAAGAATTTTCGCATCCTGTCTAAATTTTACAGTTAACTCATTATTGGATAAGGACCAGCGCAAACTTTTGTATATTTAATATTTTTTAAATAAGTACCTACATACCTAAAACTTTCGCTTAGAAGAGAAGGATTGTTGATTGGGGCCTAATAGCCCCATTAATAGCAATTTACCCTATCAGATCGACATCTGGTCCCTTCTGAAAACCATCATGATTAATTCCCGGTGATTTTCATTAATTTTATTTATTTATTTCATAACAATATACATTGTATCAAAAACATTATTAATGCAGGTTCTAAAAATATTCCACAATACATTTACAAATTTATATATAATCATAATTGGGGTCTCTAGATAAAGATTAATTAGTTAATTATATCTTAATTTTTTTTTTAACATTTGTCACGATAGGCCAAACGATCTGACTTCATCTTCACTTATCATCACTCGCTGATAGCCCGAAATTACCATTCCATTGACCACTCATAAAAAATATTTCCGCTTTGAAATTTAAATTTTTGAGATAAGTAAGTTTACGAATTAAGACTTCAGAATTTTCTTAGTTCAAACTCAAGTAGGTACTAGGTACCATATCGGCACCCGGTCCCCCCAGCAATTCGGTGTGATTAATTCCTGGTCAATGTCACAATGGGTCAACTTACTTAATTTTATCCTCATCTAATTTATCACCATTTTCACTAAAACCTAGCCAGCTTATATAGACAACTCTGGAGCTACTGATCTATTTTCATCCCTATAAAAATATATGGGGATGAAATAAATATTTTATCACAATATGATAAGGAAGAGTTATTTACTTTGTGAATAATGTTATAATAATGCACTATTGAATATAACTATTATGACTATATTTATAACGCGTACAAGTTCAGACATGTTCGTTTCGCAGTGATGATGCATTTAAGTGCCAGAGATCATATACATCTAGAAGGAGCATCAATGTCAAAACAGTCCCAAAAGCGCTCAGTCAACTGTTGACTAAATCGTCCTTTTTTAGCCGACTTCAAAAAAGGAGGTGATTGTCAATTTGGTTGTTTTTTCTTGTTTTGTTTTTTTTTAGTTTGTACCTCTTGACTTCAGATTGGTTCCTAAAATTTTTATAAAAATCGTTTTAATGGTTTGATTTTTAAATCAAATTAACTGGTTTGTGGAATGAAAAAACGTGTTCATACAACACAAAGTTTAAAAAAATGCCAATGATTTCTATTTCAGTTTGTATTTTGTATTGCCAAAAGTTGATATTTAAATACCTGCAATATTAATATTAATAGAAACGCATTATTTATAAATGTTAAATTGTTTTTTTACGAAGCATTTACTGAGACACCATATCTAGATATTATTGGTCTGTGAACTGCAGAAGTGTCATTGCACGGAACCATGGATATCTTAAGAACCTTAGACACCTACTTAATAACCACCTACTTAGTGATAATAGTAGTATAACTAGTGATAATAATTTATATATTTATCTTTTATAGTACACGAAATTAAAATTTAGGTATTAATTTCTAAGCACTTTAGACGCCATTTTTTCCAATTTAAAAAATTGACTTTTTTATTTCTTTAATTCTTTATTGTACATATTAATTATACATAGTCCGTGCATAGCAAGCATATTTAAATAATTTAATTTATTTATACGACCAATTGATTTTTTGTGTTGATTAGATATCAAATTTATATTTAAATTTATGCAGAAATAGTTATAATACCTATTTTTTGAGGTCGACTCTGAGGCGCCATTTTTTTAAACCTATCTCTAAAATTAATATTTTAATTTATACAGTTTTATGAAAGTACTATTTTATATGTACATCAAATATGTACTCATTTTGACTTAAAACTATTAAAAATTTTTGTTTATATCAGTTCTTAAAATAAAAATTTCGTTAATTGAAAAATAAATTTAAGAGTTAAGTATAGAAAATAGCGTCTCAGAAACGACCCTCTTATATCAATCACATGTTAGGTAGTTTCAAACAAGTGATCTCACTATATATATATATATATATATATATATATATATATATGATTCTTCCAGAACAAACAATAGAGAACATATTATATATCTCAAATAAATGGATGATAAATAAATAGAAATATTATTGGTTGGAAATACTGCATTTAATTTCTTTTTCCATATTTAAAACAAACATAAATACATTAAAAAAAGAAAAACAAAAGTAATCATAAAATCTGTAAACCTAAGATTTAAAATGAACTTTTTCTAATAATAGAGAATACGCGGTACTTTTAATCCCTATATACATAAAAAAAAGTACACACACATCGGGTAAAACTTTTACAGATCATAGAGAACATTAACTTAATAATAGGTACTTACATGATGTATTATTTTATTTAACATTGTACATTGTAACATAGTGTGGTTGCCATGTTGATAGGTTAGCAGTTTGCACTGTAAAGAACTGAGTAAGGTTTATAGATTCAAAGTATATTATAATCAAATATTCTGTTGAATATACTACATTTTAATATTTTTTTTCTATGGTTTTAGTAGCATATCATCCGCATTATACATAAAGAACATACGTACTGAGTTAATATTACACCGACCATAACTGACTAGTTGTATGGTGACTTTGTCCGCGTAAACCGATACATAAAGTATTTTATTTGCTATGTTAAGACATAATCTTCCCGTGTACCAAATTGGGTAGTTTTTGCGATTATGTATTTTCAATTCTGATGCAAAAAGGAACTTTTTACTAGTACAATATAACTGAAATTTACAAAATTTGCAAACAGTTGGATTTTTTAATACACTCAGACATTTATGTAATTTCATTTAAATTTTTTTAAATAAAAACCTATTTACAAAAAAATTGGCACATTCAACTTTTTGGAATAGTTAAATACGTAAAATAATTGATACAATAAAATAAATAACATTATTTATTGAATAAGAGCAAAAAACTTTTAGTTTATAAATTAATTTTATTTATAGTCGATGTTACTGCCCAAACCAACCTTATAAAATAGCGGAGTTACCTACGATTTTTTAACTCGACACGCCATCTACATGCGTATGATTTACTATGGATATTAAAACATTAGTTAATAAGTAGACACCACGCCGGCATACACAGACCACCAGTGTATGCCGGCTGAAGAACCCAGCAGCCTGGAGGTCGTCGCCTCCGGAGTTGAAGCCGGGGAAGGGGTATACCCCGAGGCCCCTACCTCGCCCGCCCACACATCATCTGGCGGGCATGAGATGTCCTTGTTGATTGATTGATAGTTAATAAGTTATCTGTGATTAAATGCACAAATAGTTCCTTTATTAAAAATAAACTCAGTTGTTCAGTCGAGATAATTATAAAAACACTATCCCAGATTTATTTTTATCTAAATTAATACTAACAATAGAAAACTTAATTAAAAACAAAAATACATCCATACGTAGGTGCTCACAAATGTAATATTTAAAACTTATTACCTAAAGTATCTTAGTAGTAAAACACACACGTACCATTCGAGATTGAGAAGGAAATAGGATCCTTTTTATCACGGTGGAATAATACCGGGATTTATATTAACTGAATCTCTTTGAGAAATAGTTTTATGGAACATAGTGAACTCCAAAGTACTTATTAAAGGACGGTGAGGTCGATTTTGAGAGACTAATTTCTCTATATCTCCTATTTCTCTTAATCTAATATTTAGTTTTAATAGTTTTTTTTTTTTAATGGATGATAATGGAATAGTAACCCCACCCGTGCTATCGGTATACACCGGCGGGGCACCAGTGAAGGATGATAGGTGAAGATGAAGTAGATCAGTTAGCCCATTGTGACGAATTCAACAAGAATTGTTCACGATGGTTTCCAGGGGGAACCACGTGGAGGTCGACCTAATAAGGTATATTGCTAGCAATGGGGCTTTCAAACCCCATTGCTAACAATCCATTTCCCCCCGTTTTAATAGTTTCACAAAATTACTTTTTTATGGACTATCATCACTATATTTATAATAATTTTGACTTAAATCTTTTAGAAATTTAGTTCATATTGGTCATCGGAATAAAGATTTTTTTCTGATCACCATCTCGCCTGGTCAAATGTTATGATGTGATCTGAGATGGAGTTCGCGGGTTCACAGTTACGCATAATGTAATGCATTATCAAATAAAAAATTGAATTTTAAAAATGTCGCCTCAAAATCAACCACAATGTAAAACTAAATTGTTTCATCATATTATAATCATAGTCCACTACAATTTTAGATTTCCAAGTAAAGTATGATGTCATGTAATGTTTCTATTTCATTACTATTTATCATAATTTCGCAACATTTTCAATGTAAACATTAATCTATACAATTTTAATTTAACAATTAGTATTCAAGCTATTTGTGTTTTCAATCTGTATCTGAATTAGGTAAAAGAAAAAATATTATTTATATTAAAAAAAATGAAGAAGACAAATAATTATCCTTATTAATAATAGTAAGTTTGTTTGTTACCTTATAGCGCCTCAACGGCTTAAGCAATCACTATGAAATTTGGAATATGGGATAGACAAGGACATACTGGCTTCTTTTTGTCCCGGTAAGTAAATAAATCCCGGTTATGCGGACGAAATTGCAAGTAAAAGTTAATAAATAATATAATATAAATAATAATTTAACTAGAAAAAATTTCTTGACTATTCTAAAAAAAAATATACAAATTTTTATTAGTAATTCTCTAAATATGATATTTTTGTGATATTTTTTACTTCCGCAATGGGTTTACTTTAAAAATTGCTCAAAAATAATCTTATCACAAAAATAATGGAGTGCTTATAGGTAGGTACAATGTTAAATACTTGAAGATTTTTTTTTATCAAACATAATTGTGTTTGTGTGACAGATAAGAAACGTTACCTTATCATTGTCATTTAATATTTTCTGTGTTACATAAAAAAATCTCCTGATAATTGTAATGTCAAAGAAGCTTATATATATAGGGCAAGGAATTAGACTGACTTCCTGCCAGCACCGGACTACAGCAGGACTTCATTTCTTCCATAGTATTTTCCTAATCTCACAATTATGATGGTGGTGGTATGATCGATTGGTATGAGTGATATTTATCGATATTATACATTTAAATATCAAGTATCAGTGACACAACAATCGTAGCTTAATAATTCATGTAAGTACCCTTTCTATGTTTTTTTCTTGCGAATAAAGAGTTGACATATTGAAAAATAGCCACAAATTTTTTATTTTAATTCAAGATGTTTCTTTCTAATGGATGAATATAGTACGGTAACTACGCCTCCGCTATTCATATTCACTGACAGGGTACCAGTAAGAGATGGTGGCTAAGGATAACCCCATTATTACAATCCCTATTCCCCCATACCAAAGTCTTCACAAAAATGACATGAGAATTTCTCATATGGTTTCAAAAGTTAAACAGTTTTATAAATATCATTGTGTTTAAGCTGTATATATTGTCTACCGAACTCTGGGTAACAAGGATTAATAAAAAAAAAAGTATGAACTCTCAACATATCAGAGACTTACACATCACTAATTATGGGTATTTACCCATAATTACAGCAAATGATAATGACTAACAATAATATAACAATGAAATCATTAATACCTATCTGTCACATACACGATAATGTATTTACATAATGAAATTTTAATAAGTTCAAAATTATATATGAAAATATTTATTGGGCAATGCTCAACTCGAAATGGTGAATTTCGAAAATATTCAATGATAATGATGGCGAAAATTATACGTAAAGGCGTTCTATAGTAATTTAAATAACATCCATGCCATAACTGTAATCCAAATGTGGTAAAATATGAAAAATGAGACACTTTGTTTAACACTGCATGTTTTTTTTTACATTTTAAGCTTCAAACCCCTCGTGATATCGGAGCTGCAATACCTAGTATCGTAACCACTCCAGTATCAAATTAATATTGCCATGTCAGGTCGACTTCCATAGTCTACCCTAGAAACCATCATAATAAAATCTTGTTGAATCACGTTTAAACTGTACTGCATCCTTATCTATCACCCTTTATTTCCTGTCAGCGTATACCATCTCGCAGACGGGGCCAAAACTCCATTTTAATCAATGTTAAAAATCCCTCTATCCGTTGACTAAGTATATATAGACCCACATGCACAAAAAGACAATCTGGAAACTCTTTACACTAGAGAGCGCCACCTCCATACTATTGGATACAAGGGCAACTTTACGAAATGTTTCTACTCTATCTGACAATCATAAATTTATTAATTTTCACAGATATCAAAAACATATTGATATCTTGCTTTATTACTTACAAAATTTAAATAAAACAGTGGCGAATTTAAATAAATTACATATTAACCTACTGTACAAGTACAATATTATATAACACACTAATATACATAAATGTTAACTACAGATTTAAAGTTATAGTATAATATACTATTATTTTATATATGTATTATATATTATATACATATTTGTAATAATACTAGTTATAAACATGTTTAAATATATACATGTTTAATTATAACATTATAACATGTTTATATACAATAACTTATTTTATACATGTTTCGCAAAAGCTCATTTTCATTGGAGCCGATTCTAAGGTGCCATTTCTCGAAATTTCACATTAATAAAATTACTATTTTATGGGCTATCATAAATAAAATTTATAATAAATTTATAAATCTATTATAAAATTAGTATATATTAGTCCTTACAATAATAATAATGATATCAAATTGAAATTTTAGAGATTGGTTTACAGAAATAACGCCTTAGAATCGACCTAATTGTCTTACCTGATAAGTAGGCCTGTTTACCCGAGCTTATAAATGTATACACTTCCTAAATACACGTTGGTTATTTTAAACATTTGTCATAGAATAAATGTTTATTACGGCTTGGTCTTGTGTTTCTACCAGTTGTCTACTAGCCATAGTACAAGCTTTGATTAGTCTGACTAGAAGGCGCTCTGTGATGTTTAATTTTTTATTATTATTATGTTATAAATACTACACATATTAATTACAGATACATGCTGTCTGTTTAGTGCTAACAAGGATATAGACAGGATTTCTCCATACAAATACTTTGAAAAAACAAGTCGACTTTTTTATAGATATGTGTGTGATAGGTTTACCAGATTGAAAATTATTAGCTGAAGGTTATAGTTTCAAATATTATTAGTGTGTAACTTTTTGTCAACTAATTTGACAATTAGCTGCCAACAAGTTGACTCGTTTTTTAAAGCAAATTACAGCCACCAGACTTCAATATTCTTCGTAGTCATAGTAATCCTCTTCCTCGCCGTTCTGCAACATGGCCGCTAGCGACATCTCGCCGCCAGTGTCCGTTGGTTCCGTTTCCAATTCGTCGTCGTAGTCGTCTCCTACATCTGTTTATAGACATATGTACATTCATACATTTTAAAAACATGAAATATTAAAATAGCCGGTACCAGATGGAAAGTGGTAACCGTCGTTTAAAAACATGAAATGTACCATATCAATTAATATAGATATCAATTAAGTTTATTTTTAATACATTTCCTTGCGAAGAAGTGTTTATTACTAATAGGGATTAATGGTCCCATTTTCAACAATAAATCTTATTAGGATGGATATCTTCCATGGAGGACCACGCGGAGGTCGACCTGATAGGCTAGCAATATGACTGTTAGACCCCATTACTAACAGTCCATCTACCCCTGATAAACATAAAGTAAGGTCAGTTAGCCTATCGTGAATTTACTTGGAATTAACCACGATAGTTTCCAGAGGCACCATGTGGCAATTGCCTTGGTAAGGCATATTGCTTGTATATGGCAACAATACCATCCCCCAAAACATAGCAGTAATAGTACATTATTGCAGCGGCCAGCAACTGCGCGGAAATCAAAAACACAATTTTACTTTTTAAATTCAATGGCGAATAACAAACAATAATAATTTTTCACGCGGCAGAAATTTCCTTGGTTTTTTTTTTCAATAAACAGCTTTCTATTTGCAAGCCAGTTCGAAATTTAAATAAAACCTTTTATTAGTTACCTCCTTGGTAGCCATGTTTCGAAGTATAAGGTCATTCCATTTTTAAATTACAGGACAGATATGAATTTACATAGTAATTTATCTGGCCGCAAAACACGACAGATATGGATTTTCATACAACTCTTGCCGGCCGCTGCCCGCATGTATCTGGCCAGTATGGCAATTTTAATTTATCTCGAAGAAGATTGTCAAAATAATACTCACATTTCCAAGCATGTTTGAGAAAAAATAGTAAATTTGTTGGTTACCAGTGAGAGCCGGCGTGGGCGGCGCAGGCGTCGCCGGGGCGGATGTAGCTGGTGTGAGCGGGGCGGGTGTCGCGGGCGCTGACGACGTGGAGGGGGCGAACAGGTTCGGCACTATCGAAGGCGGTTGCTTCTTTTTCCTCTTGCGTGGTACCGGCGACTGAGGCACCGTCGTCTCCGCAGAGGTTTGAGGCTTTGTTCTAGAATTAACAAATATGAAATAAAATAAAAAATATTTATTCTCAACTGTATTTATATTAAGGGAAATCCTTGGTAAAATACAATACAGTTTGTTTAAGATGCAACTCCCTTAGTTGTTTCTAGATTCTTAGGTATTTTTTATTGAAATTGGAATATTGAACTGTATTCTTGTTACTTACATTTATTTGTCATCATATACCTTAATCTAAATTTATTGTTAATAATAAAAAAAAAAAATACAACTCACTCTGAAGCAGTTTCAACTGTAGTTGTTGCCGGGGCAGCCGGCAGGGGCGTTCCAGGCTGGTCCAAGCTCTTCAAGATGTCGTAATTAATCTTCGAGCTGATCTTCTTCTCTGCTAACATTTTACCGATCGCCTCGCCGGCGGTCGCCGCACTGCACGTAGTCTTCTTTTTGTATGCACCTCGGATTTTTTTTTTCTTGTCTTTTCCCTCTTCTTTTTCTTTGGCACGCAGTTCTTCTTTTACTGTGAAGGAAGATAAAGAATTTGGTAACATTTTTCACATGTTCATATATAACTTTAAATATATACTTCTATAAGTATATGTACGCGGTTTATTTAAGTAAAGAAAAATTTTGTCTCCTACGAACAGTCTTTCCTTATCAAACATATTTTCTCGTGGATGAAAATGGAATAATGACCCTGTCTGAATTATGTTTGATGTTGGAATGGTACCAATGAAATAGGTTCCAGAAAAAATCAAGTGAAGGTCAACCAGATAGGGCATATTGGAATGGCACTACTACATCTTATTACCAACAATCTTTCTACTCAGGATGTTGTAAGAGACGGCCAAGGGAATAAAATACTACACACCAGTGCAAGAGAAAATAATTTCGAGTATTTGCAGCTCGTTCTACTATACCGAGCCGTATGGCCAGTGTGGCAATAGTAGTCCTAGCAGTGGGGTATCAACGGTTGTTAAAGTAGTTACTAGTGACTTCGAGGATAAATAAAAAAAGGTGTATAACATATCATTACGTTATTAATATGGTATATACCTATGTATTTTGTATATATTTATATTGTATAATATTCATTATTATATTAATTTATATCATAAGGTGTACTTTTTATGTAATATTACATATATAAAAAAATTTCAGTACCACTGTCTCACAATCGCCTTCTGTTTCTATCTAATGGTTAGGTAGTATAGAATGCCCTTAGATTATATAGATAGAGCCACGAGTCTCAAAAATGGGTCAACTTTTTGTCAGCTAATTTGCCAATTCTCTCTTTGACAAGGTTCATTTTATATCAGTGTTCTATATACATATAGATACAATGTATCTTGACGTATTATTTAATAAATAAAGTAGGTATTTACGCATTAAAAAGGTGCAGAAATTATAAGACAAAATAAATATAGAAGTTATAAAGGAATCATTCATAACATATAAATCACACAAAATTGTATGAAAAAGTTAACCCGCTTTTCTCCAAGTATTTGTATGGAGACACTCTATCTATATAATCTAAGAGAATGCCATACTTTATTTGCCATACAAATTGTATCGTTCAATAAAGAATAAATAACATACTTTTTTGCTCCTTCAAATATCCGGCGTTGATTTTATTCCAAAGCATAGTTTTATGTTTCGCCTCATCCTCGCTCATGATAAGCGAGCTGATGTAATCCTCATCCTTGTCATTGAGCAGCAATTCCTCGGCACTGTGAAGGTCCTTGCTGAACTGTTGTTTCGGTTCCGGTTTTATGAATTTGTCACTTTTCTCGTCAGACGGGCCCAGACCTATCACCGCTAACTCAGGCCCTGAAATATAAAAAATTATTTTGGGTTAATAATCAAAGAGGAATTGTATTTTTAGTTTATATAAACTCAGTATAATTTACATAATTTCGAAAGACAAACCCACTTACTTATATTATTAATTTTAATAAATATATAGTTTTCATTTTATAAATGCTTATTGTCTATATGTAGGCAATATATATTTATAATAAACTAGCTATGTTCATAACATTATAAAAAGAAAAGAATTCATTTTTGTTCATAAAGGATAAACTAAAAAATTCATAACCGGTTTTAAAAATTCTTTCACATATATATACATTTTTTTTTTTATTTTATTATCAATAAAAATACAAGTTACAGAATTTATGTTCCATTAGCATTTAGAAACCACGTAGGTTTATATTAATACTAAATACATTAAAATTATTTAAATTGTATTAAAACCATGCAAGAAGTATCGTTTTAATTTACACTTGATGTTGCTAATAGTAATGTTATCTCGTACATCGGTGGGTAGTTCATTAATAAATCGAGGAACCAGGTAGTCAGCCGTACGCTCACCATAACAGTTATTTACGCGAGCGCTATTGGTACAAAGTTGCTTCCGTGCAATTTATACATGTGTATATAACAGAGGACCACCTACGTATTCAAAGACTGTTTGGAAAAGATTGTTTAGCAATAAAACCGCCTTTTGTATCACTTCGCATTAAGTATTTCCCGTATTTATTATTTTTTATAACTGGTGCAAAATGAAATAAATAAGTAATTAAATACACTTACCAAGTCCTTTCTCCAGTTTTAACCGGGCAGAAGGTTTTACTGTCTCGGTCTTCGGTTCAACGTCCCTCGCGATCTCTCCGATGAGTTCGAGTGTGTCCTCAGCTGCGAACCGTGACGCCTCTGCCTCTTCTGATGTACCTTCGTCTGAAAAATACAAAATATATATTTATGTTTAAAATAATCAGAGGGAGACTTTGTAGAAAAATCATCTGCTTGGATACCTCTGTCTCATTCGTATTTCTACCGTGAGGCAGTTGTCTTTGCACCGCTGTTTCGGTTTTAATGGTAGGATATGGCAGTGAAAATACAAATTACAGAGGTATAACACCTTAGTCCTCAGGAATAAAAACGCCTGAAGGGTATCATGGGCGATACGGTATACCCTGTTATGTTCGTAGTGCTGTGCATATCTATAGGCGACAGTTACTTTCCATCAGGTGGACCGTCAGTTATAAAAAAAGTGATCAGCTCTCGATTTCATGCAATCGATAAATAGGCGAGCAATCGGTAGAAAAGGTAATAAACACACATAAATTATTTTAATTTCCGTAAAAATAATAACGATTCTTAACGATATCATGTGGTTTGAATTAAAATAAATAAGTTTACCTATGCCTATCAAAGAAGCTGGAGTAGTGTTGACATTGGCCGCTTTTTTCCTCCGTGAGTTGTCCTTCTCGAGTTGTGCATCTATCTCTTTCTGCAGCTCTGTTAGTTCTCTCTCTCCGTCCTCTTCATCCATAAGCTGTAACACATTACAGAACTTACTTTTAGCCTCTATTTATGCCTCCGTTTACTATCCATTGCTAAACATAAGCCTCCCCTATAAGTAAAGTTTAGTCAGTAGTTGCCACATTTAGCATGCACAGTTGGGCTTTGGTGATGCTTTAAGACGGACGCTGCTACCTATTAAGTTTTCCTTACTCGCCTCTTACGACACCCACAGAAAAGGAGAGGGTGGCCCATTCTACGCCGGAACCAAATGGCAATACGCTTAAACACCCTTAAACAGTCGCTAGCTTCAAAACCTATGTTAAGTCCTATCTCTCCCCTTACGAGTATGTACTGTTTTCATATATTCTCTCATCACCTTTCGCTTACATTCTCTTCTGTTGTATGTGTGCTGTTAAGTATATGTTTATGTATATATTTGTTTATTTATACATGTGTATATATTAGTACATAACAAAGAGCCACCTACCTATCCAAAAACTGGAAGAGATTGTTTAGCAACAAAACCGCCTTTATATCACCTCGCATTAATTAACTTGAACAATAAAGTATAAAATAACTATATAATTGTTCGCGACATTATTGTACATGTGTAATTATAGCGATATTTATAGCAATGTTTATAGTTAGTTGTTAAGTCCCTAGTTTAATCGTTTTGTATACTGTTATTTTATATAGATTTTACATAGATTTAAGATACCTATAGTGTAAGTCAAATAAAGCATTCATTACGTGTCGTTATTATTACCTGCGAATAGAAATAGAAATTGTAAAAACAAATAAGAAATTGTAAATTGTGATAAATAAATAGACGCTATAGGGTACCGATCTGAAGAGACACGCGTCTCGTTCACTCTCGCCCCGTCCCGCTCGCACAGATTCGCTAACGCAAGTTAGAAATGTTATCGTGCGAGCGGGCGGGTATAAAGATAGGCCGCCTCCCGTCGAGCGGCATTCGCTTCCGAGCAGCGACGCACTACACTCGAGAAGAAATAGGACAAGAAGAAAAAATACTCTCTTCAGACGGTACCGGAGGCTTCAGAATAGTAATCGCTGTGTTTCACTCCAGCCTGAACCAACGCCCCTACAGTCCACGCTCACCGTACGGCAGTCCACACCGTTCAATAATAATATATATGTATTAAGTAACTTGTATATCTATGTATCTATCTCCAAGTCAAATCCAGGGTAGGCAGAGTAGTCGGAATGCCAAAGATCTTTATTCTTACACAAGTCTCTTGTTTAATATTTACTCTCATAAGTCATCTCATGCATACACGCCGATTTCAGAGAAATTTGCTTGACTCCTCACTCAGATAGCGAAATAAATTATCTGATCATTATAGGTCAGTTTAGGTCATTTACGCATTGTATATTGTAAATCAGTCTAGATATCGCCCACTAACTGCATCATTCTACTCTCGCTTTGTATATTTGTTTTGTCAATCTTTCATCCGGTATTCGTTCCAGATCTTAAACCAACATAAAACGCCCTTAAATATAGAAATACCTTTTGCAGCCTCTCCTTATCCCTTTTCCTAGCCGCTCTAAACGCTGGCGGATCCTGCTCCTCTTCCAAATCAACAGTCATAAACTCGTCCGGAGTGAGGGCACTCGAAGGCGTCTCCCCGAACTCCAGCAGCCGTTTTCGCAGTGTCGACTCATGAACCTTCACTATCCGAACAACATCGGCGGGTGTTCGCGAGAAATTGTGCAATCGGGCAGCGATGAGAAGCGCTGAAATGTTATGTATTACATTTACTGTCTATATTTGTGACTTTGTTGTCGCATGATCAGAATAAAAATAATCTATGTCCCTTTTCTATCATAAGTATTAAATATATTTCAAATTTCACAATCATTTTTACCGTCAAAGCGCCAAGATGTAGGTAAGAAACAAATAAACAAGCAATAAATTAATAAATATTAGTAAGATTAGGGTAAAACCAAAAGACTTCTTGTTCCCAATGTCTAAGATGTAATCTCATTTACAGGAAACGACTAACTACAGTCAATTTACGAAATAAATTCTGTAAAGTATACTAATAAATATGCAAGCCAGTAAAGATTGATTGGGTGTTACGATGTTTGTTACTCAATCACACTTAAATGGCTGCACGTATTTGAATGAATTTGGTACACGCTTATGTTATACGCTAACTCAACACATAGGATATGTTATATACTAATTTTACGGAGGCAAAGCCGCGAGAAATAGCTAGTATCTAACAGAGTCAATCCGTTTATTTTTAAGCAATTTTAAAAAGGAGAAAATTCTCGATTGAGGTTATTTAAGTAGAATCGTATGATAGGCGATATTTTCGCAAATTCTAATCCGAATTGCAGAACTCTTTGCTACCGTTTACTTTTTAATTATGTGTTTTACTATGGCGTTGGAGCTATATAAATTTTGTCACAACTAAAATAGCCATTATTTAAAAAAAAAATACATTCTTACAAAATATCGTATCGTATACTGCTGAGGGAGAAGTTAAAATTTTTAAGCCAAAGATGCGTGTTGTTTTTTACACTGAAATTATCAAAGTCCACTCAGTAAGGTGTGAGTATAGACAGAATCTCGATAATTATTCTTGGTTAATTTATTTTTGATCCCTATCTTCATTTACATATAGTAAAAATTTCTGGGTATAGAAACAAGTTATTTGGCACATAGGTTTATTTTTGTTTGTAACCTAAAGGTGTTCAAACTATTTATAAAGATTTTTGGAAACACACGCAATAACAATGCATGTCGACACTTTACGATGAATTTTTTAGCATAGACCAAAAGTATGTAATAATACTATTTTTATACGTTTTGTACTTTCTCTAAAGATAAAGGCAAGTTTTATAGTCCTATCGTTTGAATATCAAACAAGTCGAGATTATCCTTAGAAGATTTACTCTCTAAATAGCTAGAATTAGGTATCCATACATAATATTGATAACAGTCGTGGAAATGCTACTTTGCGTTGGTGATGTTCTGGATTTGATTCGTGGTCAAGCCAATTTAGGAAATGATCTTTTCTGGATTGGCTCTCAGTGCTATGGATTGGGCTCTCAAATATCCATTGCTTGATTCTCCATAACACACCCTGTGTTCTTCATAAAACATGTGATATTGTAGTATTTATATAATACATTATAACGCTTGTTTGTACGAGTACATACCATTCTATTTGATGCTCTCATGGATGTGCCTACGCTGATTATGAAAACTCTTGACTACTCATTCAAATAGTACCTCCAAGTACGTTAGTACTAAAAGCAATTTTTGGTCTAACTTTCCCTTGTATAGCTACATACTTTCGACTCCTCAATATGGTCAACAATTGAACTGTAATGAGACACTGTCCTTGTTGACATGTGTTTAAAAGGAATGAAAAACATACTACCATAAACAAAAACTAATGTATGTACTTATTTACAATAAGTTTTGTATGGAGAAACCATTATATAATTGACTCTCGAATTGAATAAGGCTGACATTCTATAGAAGATCATGTAAAACCACAAAAGATAATAGATTTGCTTTAGTTCCGGCATAAAAATAAGTAATTATCTAGACAGAAGTAATACTCGTGTATTTTCTTTGGAAGTGCACCGATGTAGACAAAATGTACCCCACTTCTCCTTACTCAAATATGGTTGGAACAAATTTATACTCATTTAATAAATTACTTTGTCTTATATAAATAATAAAAGCAATCCCTAACAAATAGTAAGTAAAGTTATAATATTACTATAAAAATATTAAATTTAGTTTTGTAAAATTACGTACATTTTTACGGTTGTTAAATAAACAAATCATTAACGTTGATATAAGTTATTAAAATGAAAAAAACATAAAGCACTATCTTGTGGCTTACGATTAAACATGATCTCCGAGTTGAATGACGCACAAGTAAAGGAATTCACAGGGCCTACCATGAAATGTTTTCGGAAATTTTGGGGCCGAACGAAAGACAAATTTAATGTTAAAAGTACATAATATTAAAATATCATTCTTTTCAACTTTTGTAGTAGATGTGACGAATGAAATGTTGAGCTCCATTGACTGGGCATATGAAAATTGGGAGTTTCATTTCATAGTAGACCCCCAGTTCTTGCCTACGGTTCGAGAGACAAACGCGGTATTATTATTGAATTGGCGAAAATATCACTTCTACTTAATCCTTACTATTTCTTATGGTTCCGGTGTAGGATGCCGACAGATGGTTACGATTTTGCAATGTAAACGTCACAAGTTTGCATAAATTAACGAATATAGCAATGTCCTCAGCGTTTAAAACTTTTAATATTTATTAAATGCATTTTGGGTTGGTCGAGTAGTCATATCATTTCCGCATAATAGCTCTTCATGGTCAAGCAAGAGACATTGACTTTTATAGGTAGTGTTTATTTATTATTATTTTTTTACCTGAGCACCAACTATAGAGAAGTTGATAAATCGTTTGTCTAGGTATAAACATGTGAAAGAGAGAATGTGGTAAAAATGAATTAAGAATGAATATTTTAAGTATAAAATACGACCTAAATGGAGACATGAACTGTGTGAAAAATGACATGGCCAGAAAGGAGTGAATACTGAGATGTCTGTAAATAAAGATGAAGAGATAAACATATTACGCCGACTCAAAATAGATACGGGACAAGGGCAGGAACATAATGATACTAAATAGCATTACACTGTACAAATATACTCATGTACCTATACGGGCATAGTAATGGCAGCGAGAGAGACAGAAATATAGTCATCTAAGTATTTTTTGTTTTTTAATATTTAGGAAGCCTTTATTTTATATTAGAAAATCTTGATAATTTTGTATACATACTAAATTAAGTTATTAATATTATTAAGTACTTAATAATTTATATAGATTAATTTTAAATAAATTTTACACGAGAATGACCAATCTCTTTTACACTACGCTTTTTAATTCCGCCGAGATACTTATAGGTCACCCCAAAACATCATATTCAATTTCTCATAAATTCGTCACGATCAGCCAACCGAAATGGCTTTATACTCAACCTCATTTAGTATCGCGCCAGCATAAATCAAATACAAGCGAGATTTACGCGTTCATTTACAGGTAAAACAGAGAGATATTACCTTTATGTGAAGCTACATAAATATTAGTTTTCTATTCGTGTATATTTCTTTAATAATTTTGTCAGTACACGTTTCTTTCCGTGTGTGTAAATATAAACTTAGCTTCACGTATACGGCGATACTTAGAAACTATTTTTATATCACTAGTTACTATTTAAATTTTGTTGTTTCTAAATTTAACATGTACAGTTGCATAAGTAGGTGCGCCGCAGTTATTTTTAACTAACTTACGTAACGAATGTTATCATCCAATCAGAAAATAGGAAACTGGGTTACTTGAAACGCAATTTACACCTGACATACATGCAAAGAGAGAAATAAACGTTCCAGGTGAGATATATGAATTGCCATATTACAAAAATAACATACAATTTCAAAATATACCCATCCATACAATGTTTATCTTCGCAACTTCATTGAAATTAATAAAAATCACCATTAAAATGAACAATAAATGTATCTAATAATTATTATTAATGCTGTAGAATAAAAGGAGAATTCTTGAAGTTATATCTGTCGATAGACATGTATACTTTACTTCTCGAAAAAAAAAGAAACACTGGCCTCAATTATGACAAAATTAATATGAACCTAGCTCAGGACTGAACGTACTAAAAAAGAATTAAAAAAATAGAATTATCTAAAATATAATATATCATTTAATATATATACCACCTTTTTTTGAAAATCACGAAATAGTCACTTTCACCTGATGTTTAACACCGAGTAACTTATATAAGAAATGTTAAGGACGAAAGAAAAAATATTTATATTACCTGCCCCACAAATTCCAGATGGTCTCCGACCAGAATGTATAGAGTCCTTTTGCATCCGTTTGACGAGCCGCAATGCCGTTGTGGTAACATCGTGAACTTTGTCTTCGAATTGCAGCTGCGACGCGAAACGCAGGATATACATGCATGGGTCTGAAATTTAAATGTAATGTTATTTTCTTCCATGGACTTATTTCATATTTGAATAGTATAAAAATTAATTAACTGCTGTTTTCGATCCTAAAAGTAAACTATAAACGGTAAACTACTAAGAATATGCATTTTTTTTAAGGTTTCAATGTTGTATTTGTTTGGAAATACTACTGCCCGGATTAAGTAAGCAAATTCTTCTTCATTCTCTCTTTCTGCACTCCTTCAGTTTTTGAAAATACATTTATATTTTATAAGATATTTAAAACCATTCTTTTCTTGGTCTAAGATAATTTAAACCTGCCTATTTCTATTCTATTTCTTATCTTTTAAGAAACTGCAGTATGAGGCGTTGCTAAAACAGCATGAAAAAGGACATCAATAGGCTACGGTAGTCACTATGAGACGAACCATATTTTCTTTTTCTACCTCAGTAGTATAACTGCGATTATTTATATCAAAATTGGAATGCATTAGTTGTATGCGAAGTATGTAGAAAGGTAATAAAAAAAATTAAATAATTGCAAAAATCAAATAAAAATACATACAAATTCAAAATCAAACCCACTTGAAAAATATGATTTATTTGCCAATATGCAGTCGGAAATTGTACGAAGGTCTGTTTGTATTGGTTCGTAGACTGAATACGGTCGTCGAGTGCCGTTAACATAAATTTAAGAACCTATATCTTCGAATATACGTTTGTTATGATTTTGGTGGAGGCCATGTATAGCGGAACGATTTCGGTTTGCATAATGGCACGGTGACGTAATTCACTGACAAGGCAACCAGTTCACGAGTTCTGGTTTTATGTGGATTGGAAAAATCCATTTACCACCTATATATATTGAGATGTATACTTTAAATTGAATCGGATGATAGGAGTAAATAAAAAAAAAAATCGCGGAATATTTATTTTAACTAAGTATGAACCGATACTGATATTAATTTTGTGACGATTGAAACTGTTGTATTTCTTTGCGGACCAAAAAAAAATGTTAGTTGTGAGTCTTGGTTCTAAATTCAAATATTTTCAATCAAATATGTCTACGAAACGTTACGACAGATTTTAAGTTCGAGTAACAGTTTTAAAAAAAAAAATATCTGTTCTACGGTTTTTTACGTGTATACTTATGTACTAAATGTTAATTATTGTTAAAATAATATACTAAATATTAGTATCTAGTTGATTGAAGCATTTCACTACTCAAGATCAACTGGTGCACTAGGTATCAAATTTGCAAAATGTACCTACTCTATATTATATGTAAATATATGCACTAAAACTAAGCAAATGTTTGGAAGAGTATCATCATTCTATTTCATTCTTGTCGTAAGAGACCACTAGATACAAAAAGGCAATATGTCACTGGAAAAGAAGAAAATTTCGAAATAATACCATATACCATAGGGCGTATGGCTATTACCCTAGTTTATGGAATGATAATAATATAACATAATCTTAACATAGGTATATAATTATTATAATTATTTTTATTAATTTCTACCTTGCATATTAAGTCCTTATTTAATTCTTATTTCCTATTTTTCCTGCCTCTGAACACTATCAACAAAACTTAAGCCTTAACTTAACTTTCAAGGAGAAAACATTCGCTAAGAAATTCGAAGGTAATTCTTTGGTAGTTATAAGTTCAAAACTTATTGTTACATGTCATTAACAATTTCCCGCGGCTTCGCTAACATATTTGCTGTTCGTGGAAGTTGATCCTTTGTTCTCAGTTCGGACGGAGTCCTCGATAATAACCTGGCACCAACAAAGTAACTCATATAAAAATACAAAAAAAAAATCAATACCTTGAAATACTTGGAAGAATCCCTCCTTTATCCCTCAATAGTACCTTACCAGCATAAATCAATAGTGCAGACAGGGTAACACTTTCATCCATAAAAAATCTTTAGAAGCCTCATGTTAATCAAGGAATTTTAGTATTCAAACCAAATATAGTATTAAACGTTAAGAGGTTAGTTTCCATTCAAATAATATTAACTGAAATGGCCTCCGCTGCCCATTGTGATGGGCGGCAATGAAGAGGCGTGCTTCTTAGCACGTTTTCCTGTCAGTGTCTTATAATGGCCTGCGGAGACGACGGACATTTTGCTCCATACTGACAGTTTTACCTGTCAGATCGACCTCCACACGTTTCCCTTAGGAAATTATTATGTTTAATTTTTGTTGAATACATCACAATGGGCCAACTGATCTAGTTCCATCCTCATCCATCAGCGCACACTGGTGTCTGCCAGTGTATGTCGATAGCACAGGCGAGGTTACCGCTCCATGATCAATAAGAAAAATCTTCACAATACAATTAAGTCCGGCATATAACATTTAAAATTGGTTATTTGATTACAATTATTTTGTTTACAAGTTGAAGTTCCACGTCCTTCAATAGCGGTCAATTTTGAGTGTTGACAGTTACTAGCACACTAATGGTAGCGGAATTAAACAAAATAATTCTAATACCCAGTGATATGGATTTTCGCAAGATAACACTTTGTTCAGATAAATATTTTGTTGATACCTTATATTGTAAATATTAAAATTGCAAAATCGGAGTCGCGATCCCAAATATATATTTTACTTAGCAAAAATTTTTGCTCCTCGAAAAATAGCAATTTGGATTATCGCTGTTTTGTGGAGAAAATTTATAAATTATCCACTTTATATTGGACATTTTGTATATATGAAAACTCTGCACAATTGTACTGACGATCCTCGTCATGTGATCAAAACCACGCATGCATGTATGCATGTTAATAATAGTCCGCAATCTGGTCTCATGCAAGTGTGAGCTGCATACTGATGGTACAATGTACCTCATAATATACGACCAGTTGGTATAAAAGCATCGAAGGCTCTTTCTGTAGTTTTTAAATCTAGTTCCTTGTTCTACATCCGTGGCTCCAAAAACTATTTACGGAAATCCTTATGGTGAGCACTTTTAATGGAGGTTAATGGTAACCAATAAAGAATTATATCATCTTTAATACTTCTTTACTTCTTCGAGGATGAAGTAATAATAAATAAACGATGAATGAACAATAAAAAAAACGATTATGAATGACAATAACAATCGATGCCTATGACTACTCAATCAAGAGTTCTTGACATGAGCATAATATTTATTAATTTACTAGCTTTTATCCAAGATTTTGTCCGCGTGACCGGTATCTGACGATGTCCTTCTCCTTCCCATATAACAACCCCCCTAATTTATAAAAGTTAAAACATCCTACACACCTATTTTAACTATTAGTGTTTTGTTACTCATTACTTTCAAATTGAGAAAATAAAGCAAAAGAAAAAAAAAAACAAAATCATTCTATATCTAAAATAGATTTATAAGAGTTTTGACGTTTTGAATAAGGGGTAAGTGTATATAAAAATTCATGATGATTGGTTGATCCGTATGCCAATAAGTAACAAGAAAAAACAAACTCACTTTCACACTTAGACGATTACTAGTTTTTACCCGCGAATTCGTCCGCGTGACCGGGACATGTCCACTGACCGAGATAAAAAGTAATCTATGTCTTTCTTATATAAATCTTGTATATCAAATTTCATAGTAATTAGATAAGCTATTATGACCCCAAAAGTTAACAAACAAACAAATAATAAAACTTACTTATAAATGTAATTTAAATTTATAATATTAATAAGGGTTTTATTTATTTTTGTGTGCCGATTGAGTAAGAATAACTGTAATGTTTCACTATTCCTTTGCATTTCTGTTATTATGGGCGACTAAGCGAACAAAGTACATTAAAACTCGAAAAACCGTATGACCAGAGTGGCTATATCTAGCCTAATGTGGGGGGAAAGGGATTATTAGTAATGGGGACTAAAAATCCCATTGCTAGCAATATACCTAACCAGGTCAACCTCCACGCGGTTCCCCCTGGAAACTATCTATCATAATTAATTCCTGATGAATTTATCATGATAGTCTAACTGGCCTGTTTTCATTCTCATCGATCACCCTTCACTGGTGCTCCGCCAGCGTATCCCGTTAGCGTAGGCGGAGTTACCAATCCATTTACATCCAACAAAAAAAAAAAAAAAACTAGCCTAATGTCTTCTCTTACAGGAAGAGACCCGTATTCAGTGGTAAGACGTTTAATTAACGGATGTAGGAAGTACATACACATAATATGTAACTATGCAAACATTGTCGTATTTGATCAGAGATGATAAATTATTTTCGGGGTTATTCCGGTATAAGTAGCAAGGATAACACGAAACTACCGGTACGAGTATCTTAATTAAATTGGTTTATTCATGCTCTTGTCTTAGCGAACTCGTAATACTAGAAAATCGACGTTTTATTAGATATTTAAATTGATATTGGACAAGTCTTAAAAATTGTTTTGTTTTCGAAGCGAGGCACAATTTTAGTGACAAAATAATTAGATGTTTATTAAAACAGGAAATAAGTCTTTTTTTTTTTTTGCTGAGAGGCGACTGAACCCATGTAGCGATTATGTGTGTTACCTTTATTTAAATATTACATTGTGTACTTCTTTTATGTGAATATTTTTTCTGCTGAATAATAAAGTTATTGAAATATTTACATTCAATTAAAAATGTGTTCATGATACATTAAACATCATGATTAACTTGAAAACAATTGACTTTTAGTGGACTTAATAATAAACATTAAGTCAACCCTCAGTCAGAAGCAGTGATATGTTTAAATAGCATGTTTTGGTTTGGATTTGTCGCATGTTTGTAAGTACTGATGTATTAAATTATTCTCTTTGCTGCTTTCTTTCTCTTTCTCTCTCTACCTATACTCATGCGGTGAATACGCATTTAGTCAAAATCAAAAATGTTTTAATACTAACTGGGAAACAATAAATATAGTAAATTGAGTTTCGAACACTTGACAATACGTGATTTTTATTTCTTCGCGTTTTCAAAAAGGAGAATATTTTCAAGGAGGAATTTTGTGCGGAATAAATTCTTATTGATTTTCTGAAGTTTTGTGATAATGTTTGCGGGGAAAATTTGCATAAAAACATAGTAAACACATCGTGCGATGTAGTGCTATATCTTTTTTAGTATATTTATATATTGTAGTAATATGTACTGCTGCTGTGAGTTGAAAAAACACTTTTTTATTATTTTTTCCAATCTAAGACTATAAATTTTAAACTTAGAGGAAATATCCCCGGACCTACGCTAAAGAGGTTTTTTTTTTCTGATATTAAGCGTGAGATTTCACGATGTATTTTCAATAGATTTTTAAACACTATTTACATGGTAGTGTAGATAAGCACGTGTCGACGATTAATATAAGTGATTTGACCGTAACACGTAATAATTATTGCGCACAACACTTGCATCGATAATAGATGACATCATAACACTTTCTCAAACCAGCAACTGCACTAGTCAGGTGTCCCTTGCCACGACCTTGCGCAAGTCTCGCGTTCGTAGTTACTCTGTTGACTTCGAGAGGCAGTCAGTACAGCGACTCAACGCGCGCGCGCACCAAAAAGAATACGTTCGAAAAAAATAAATAAACAAATTATCTCTAGTCATTTAATTGAACGAGTGTAAAAATTACGAAGTGTATTTGTGAGTTGTACAGTACGTACACAGGGACATGTTCTGTGGTCCTGGTACCGAAGGAATGAAATGAAGCAGAGAACTGCCGGTTCATCACGAAAAAGACCTGTGCTGCTTGGGAAAATCGTCATACACTGGATCTTCAATAAGGCAGATCTAGCGAACATCGTTCCCCGGTTCGTTTGATTCACCCATGTATGTCAACACAGTTAACCTTGATACCGTTAGATTCTCTCTAATAAGAGAAGTGAGTTTATATTACTTAATCTTTATGTAATCATATCGTAATATGCAATATTATAGGAGAAATTAGTATAACAGTAGTTAGGTTTGACGTATAGAAGGCTATAGGTCAAATCTTTGAACTTGTATAAATCAGTGGAGTGAAATGTAGAGTTTAAAACAAATTCAATTTTTCTGGTAACTTCTCTGATAAAATTAAAAAACATACAATATCGTCTACTTTAAATCCTTACTAATATTATAAATGTAAAAGGGCGTATGTTTATTTATTATCTCACACCAAGAGGTTCTTGGCATCTTAACGACTAGACCAATCGACGTAAAATTTTATATAAACACAGTATCATCTTAATCAATGATCAAGTATCAAGAAATTTAAGCAAAGCTACTTTTAGATACTAATCAATCACTAAGTACTATTACATTAGTAAGTAATATATTACTACCCGTAGTACGTAGGTACTTTTAAAATATTAAAATTATTGTTTTCTGATTTAAAGGAACCATGATGTTTTCAAATCAACTAATACACTACTAATAACGGTTTGAAAAGACACTTGATTTCGACTTAATTCTACTTATGCCGAAGAAATCTGTGATAGTAGGTTTAGATACGACGGCGTATCGAGAACAGCTGAATATATTGTAGGTATACACAAAATAACCTAGATCAAGTACTATTCATTTGCACAGAGTTGGCTGCTCTACGTTGCTCAGCAAGTTACAAAGAGAGCCATGCTGGGAGTTTTGCAGCTTGATAGAACCTCAATTGAGAATACCCAAAGTCGTATTTTTCTGAATGAATTTAGTGAATATGATAGAGGTATTTTGGATTATACATAGGAATAATAACATTATATACTAATTTTTATGCAGAATATATTAATTGGCCAGGACAAAAAGAAGCCTATATCCTTATCTATCCAAAATACTAGGTAAAAACTGTATGTATTTATAACGATTGATTGAGTCGTCAGAACGCCAAGATAACAAATAAACAAAGTGACATTTATAATATTTGTAAAGATTATTTTTAGATATATACATACAATTCGCAAAGTCATATAAAAGATAAGAAATTATTATTAGAAATTCTATTTTTGAAAAAAGTTATTAACTTAATAGCTTCTGAAAATTATAGATAAATTATATACACTTAAAATAATTATCATTAATATAACAACACTGAATATTTAATACACAACAAAAACAAAATTATTATCGTAATATTGTTTCAAATTGCTACTTAGAAATTTGAAAACAAATTCCTGTATTAGAATTCATATTCAGAATTAAAAAAGTTATGCTATTATCTAAGGCTGTTATATATTCTCGTTAATTTATTTTCGGGATACTGTTTAAAATAATTATAATTAACAATTACAATATGAATAAATACATATCAATACTTAAATAATTAATAATGGAGACAATATTTACCTATCGTGAAAAAGGTTGTCCTCCTCTCTCCTACTTGCTATGCACAATAGGGTTCATAATTGTAGTTGTTTTGATATCTACCAACTGCGTTATGGAATGAAATAACAAAGAAATAAATATTTGACGGATTACTAATAAAATAAATAAATATTAACTGCTATAATATAATTGAATGAAAAAAACACTATAAAATAGCTATCTAGGTGTTTTACGATACCTATTGATATCGATATTTAGATAGAGACATTTTATAAGAAGTAGTACAACACTATAAATCTTTATTTTAATATATTGATACTTTTAGTTGCAACGATTAATTTGTTAATTCTATTAATATAGTGTAAACTTTTAAATAACGTAATGCCAATTTAAGATTTCCGCACTAAGCCCTTTCGTAAACACCATCTGTAAGTTATTATGCTTTGCAGTAGGTACAAGCAAAATAAAACAAACAACAATAAAAGTAAAAGATAACGCAATTAAAACAATAATGTAATATCAAGTTACGACCACGCTTTGCTTGTTTCGTAGATGTAATAAAAACAGCTATACATGGTGCCTTTCAAGTGGTAACATCATCTATAAATAATAACCGCTTTTCATTTTTGCCATTCCATATTGCATAAAAAAATACTCTACGGACATGCCATAGAATATTTTGAAACATGCATTAAATAGTTTGGTTTCAACTTCGAGAAAATTCATTCGCTTGTTCTCATTTGCATATATGATTGGCTTTTATATTGATCGTTTCCTCTGACGATTTCAACATTATTTTGTCACAATCAAAACCTTCTCTTTTGCAATTATTATTTCATTAGATATCTTATATAAGTAAGTACATTATTATGTGCACACCATATTACATTTTCATTAATTTTATACTATCAGTATCAAAATTATTAACGTCGCTTAAGAGAAAATGTATTTCTTATCTGTCTACGCTTGTTTACATAATTGTATCAAGCAAAAAGAAATAAAATATTCAATTAAGTTTTAACAAAACAAAATTGAATAAGTGTTTAATGATAAAACAGATTTATTCATAATTTAACTTAGTGCTCTATAATGTAAAAAAAAAAACACCGACTTTTGAACAATAGCAATTTGAGTAACTCTTGCTTTTTAAAGTCATTTATAAAATACAGGCGATTCGAAATCTTCCTTTTTTGCATACGAGTATACAGTGTTGCTACTGCTCATTAACTGAGATTAGAATAATTTAAAAATTAATTAAATCAATATAAATATAAATTCACTTTAGGCTAAGTTTCTTCTAGGCTTCTTTGTTAAATTCCTTTCAGTAAGTAATATCAAAATTATTTCGCGCCAAACGTATTCGTTCAAAGATAGGTAAACAGTTGGAAAGATATTTCTGTTATTTAAAAATTTTTTAACGCCTCATTTATGATTAAGCAATATCAATTTCATGAGTTGAAATTTATTTCATGTACCCTCTCATACAAATAGGCATTTTTCACCTTACTTACATTTTACATTACGCAAAGTAGTTGTGGGTTGGGGTATCTATTTGAATTTTAAGTATCTGATCATTTATGTGATGCTTATTCTTAGAAATACGTGACAGGATAAGAAATATGGTCATTAGAGAGATGTATAGTTTGAAAGATGAAGTAACTAGAATAGAGAAGGGAATGTTTTGGTAGGTTAGGCGAATTGAGAGAATAAATGGTAAGTAAACGAGATATAAAAAGAGTTTTGTTAATAGTTAAGTATCAAAATATTTTGAAGTAACTGAGCAAGTCGATCAATGGCGCCCTTCTTGCATATATATTATAATAAAAGAAAAAAACAGATCGATATGTTAGCCTGATATGTAGCCTGCCGAAAATTAATCCTATCTTAAGATAATATCATTAAAATTTATGATCTGTTCTGCGAGGGACATTTTGTAAAACTGTTTCTATCTATAACACGTGCGCATTGGATGGACTAGAGTCTAGACACTAGACGACATCTATACATAGGAAACAATTGAGAAAAAATAGTATGAGGGGTCTTAATAAAACTAATAGATACCAAAACAATATTTTTTAGTAATTTTATCTGTTTTTTTCGGCATCACACAAAAACGACTGCGCCAAACTGGATGTGGTTATCATACATAGTTGTGCTCGTTAAAGGTCTAATTTAAAGTTGAGTGTATCTTGTAAGCTATTTCATGGTCTATTCTATTGGTTTTTCTACTTTAGAAGTCAACGCGTACGAAGTAGCGGGTAAAATGCTAGTATACTTGTATTATAATAAAAGAAAAAAACAAATATTTCACAAGCTTGCCATAAATAAAATCTGAAGATGATCCTAATTAGCCCTACCACAATATTTGTATACACTTCCACGCTAATGATATACACTGACCACATAGATCAAGGTTAGCCAAACTACCTTATTTAGCTTACTTTTAACCTCTTCACCCTTTTTCAATTAGGTAATTGACAATTCGGTGAAACACTCGTATGTGCACTTAGTGGGTTCGGAACGTTTTTTTTTTTTTTATTATTCTCTGAACGTATACGCTATATATTATATTTAAAATAAATAATTGCTTCCTTGCATTTTACGAAACCGACTAGCCGTGCGTGGAAAGGTAAATAAATTAATGTGGAGGAAACTAAGGGCATATAATATACTACGAATGCTAAATATAATATGTATATATATTTGTTTCAGGTTTATTTTGTATGCGTGTCATTTACACGTCCGATCATCGATGAACAGCAGTGTTGACTTTTTTGAAAGTCTCATTGACGAAGACGGCCGTTTTGCTGAATTAAATTGTCAGGAACCTGTTCGACGCAACAGGTCACGACAGCGGTCATTAATTCAAGGTAATTTTGTGCAAAAGTACCTAATTGAATATCAAATCATAATCCAAATTCAGATATTTTATTTATGTCACTTGACTAGGTTCGAAATATATAGTGCTACCACAGTGTAAGGAGTGTTCATACAGTGGTTTATGGCGCATAAAAATCTGTTGTCATTCCACATTCGTCGCAAGGGTTGTCATTTATTGCTGTTATTGTTGAGCCAAGTTTAGTCTAGTTTAATCGCTTAAATCGCGTTTCGTATAGTTTGGCCACTTGGATCAAATATGCTCAAGTTTATTTAGCCAAGTACGACCACTTTAACACTATTTTTTTTAATTTAATTTTAATCTCCTTCTATTGAAGTTTGTTTAAAATAAATGTGACAACAATTTGACAAAATTTACTCCAAAATTAAATAATTTTAACATCGCTATTTTTTTTGTCAAAACACAAAAATATTATAATTTGTGTTTGATTTCTGCTAAATGTATCGATTCGGAGTTTTGAATATCAAAAGAGTTTAATTGGAGACAAACTTAGTATAACGTACTTACATATACTTAATGTAAGTACAGGACCGAATTTTTATTAATTTTAATCTAATATCAATCGCCACTTGGGAGCAACTCCATCTGCGTCCCAATAGCGATACTGGGGTCGATTCTGAGGTGCAGTTTCTCTAAACTTATTTATTAATCTAATATTTTTATTTAATAGTTTTACGAAATAAGTTGTACTGGATATTTCAATTTATTTTATAATAATTTTGACTTGAATGTGAAATTGAATTGGCTATGTTAACAAATTTTAATTTAAGAGATAGGTTTTAGAGATAGATATTTTAATTTTAGAGAAAAATGGCATCTAAGAATCGATCCCATTGATTCGTGTAACTTGTTCGTTTACTGAACCATAAATATTGAAAATGCAAGTAGATCTACTATTATATCCATAAAGTAGAAAAATATAAATCAACCAAAATTACAAAAAATATCACAATAAGTAATTAAACCAAAGAATTGCAAACTATAGACATGTGTACTGCGAACGTAAAATATCGACTTATGAAAATGCGTCATCGGTAAGTGTAAATTAGGGACGGAAATTGTAAAAAAAAATCAATATTTTGTTCAATGTAATGTATCATATATTAAGATTGATATTTTGAAAAATATATTAATGTGTGTAATATATTAAGTGTCTTTAGAAATTTAATATCGCCCACTATTGGTAAATGGTAATTAAGTATTCAGAAAAAATCAGTATTAAACTATCAATATAAAAAAGTTATATAGGCGTTATATTAATATTTTGATACCAATATCAACATTTTATCGATATAACTGCCCCTATGAAGTATTAATAAAAAAAAAATGTTACAAATACTGGTTTATTTTCATTACCTTTGACACCATAATAAAATAAAAATTTGATTGCTAGTATGTAATCCTTATTAAATCTACGTGTCAGTTTTCTTAATTCTATATTATTATTTGAATTACCTTCAAAATATAAATTGGAATTCATTTGTCAATAATATTTATTTCTAATTTCCGCAAATTCAACGCCCTAAGACATAAGAGTATTAAAGAATTAATTTACTTTAATATTGTTAACCCTTAAAGCCTGATTTTTTTAATCAAATTAAAAAATATATGTGTACCCTTTACTGTGTTTACTAATGGGGAAAAATAGTAAAAAAAAAAAAAATCAAACGATATTTTTATATATTTATTTTGAAAAAAAAACATTTGGTAACATGTAAACAGCCAAATATTAAAATAAAATCGATTGTAGGCGCTCAATGCGATTTATAACCCCGGTATCAAATTTGAAACTTCAGGTATTTAAGGGTTAATAACACAGCTGTTTATATAACATCACCAGAGGGAGACTTTGTACAAAAGTCAATTGCTTGGGTACCTTTGTCCTATTCGTGTTTCTACCGTGAAGCAGTTGTGTTTGTATGGCTGTGTTTCGGTTTGAAGGGTGGGATATGGCGTGAATTTACAGGGTACAGAAGAATAACACCCGAGTCCTAAGAAATGGCAACGCATGGGGGGTATCATGGGCGAAACAGTACACTCTGTTATGTCCATTGTACTGCTCATGTCTATAAGCGACGGTTACCACTTTCCATCAGGTGGGCCGTCAGCTTGTTTGCCATTCTAATTTGTATAAAAAAAAAAAAACAATATTTAAATACACAAATAAAAAAAAATTTGCTGTAACTATAAGATATATCGAAAGAAAAACATAGATAAATCGATTATATCACAGCATCAATGATATATTAGTTGAATTTGATACATTTTTATAATACATCAAGTGTTTTTAATACATCGACGTATGTTGTCCACCATTAGTGTAAATAATATAGAAGACAACCCCCGTTAAAATATTTTCTAAAAGATACGCAAAAAGTCTTTTATCTAGTTAATATACTACCTAATGCGATTTACTTTTGATTTTAATTGTAAACAAATAATTTTCGATTCATAATCTATAAATTTTCTGTGACCGTTTCCGAACGTATGACATTTCATTTCCCCCTTCTTTTTCTCGAACGTCAATTCGCTCGCTTCGCCCGCCACAAACAAAGAACAAATCAAGATGGCTGACATCGGTGTTTAAATTGTGACCCAAATGTTGGTTTAAAATTAACTATAATTTACAAAGTCAGTATTCATAATGTCGAATTTGTGTTCAAGAATTGTTTCTAAACCGCCTAAAAGATTGCAAGAAAGTAGAGATAGTATGTCAGTGGCTCAAACAAATACATGGATGAACGGTGAGAAATGTCGCTTTGTAAATATTGATTTTCCTAAAGAACTTCGTATTCCTAAATATAATTTTGCGACGTAATTGAGGTCATTTATGAGTTTTTAAGAAAAATCCTACAAAATATCCCCACTTTATGTTATCACATGAAGTGTCGAATCATATAACTGACATAATTAAAAACAATATTGTAAAATGTATGTAGTAATGTTGAGATTGTTTATAATGCTTAAACAAATAATGAACCTACAATTAGTGATATCATGAATGCTTTTTATTTACAGCGGAAACCATTAATAATGGTGGAGGTTTATCACTGTCCCCACCACACACGATATCTCAGCGTGAGACAGGCACACAGGTATCACAATGCTACAGTGGACCACCATCACCAAGTGGATCAACAAGTTCCACGCCTTTACCTACAGCTTCTCCAGTGCCTCCCCCAGGCACAGCCACCCTTGACCCTAATTGGCAAGCTACCAAACATACTGTCAGAGAAAGGAATGCAGCTATGTTTAATAACCAATTAATGTCTGATATCAAGTTCATTGTAGGTAGTCCAGGTAAGCATTTATATTGTGATTTATATTTATTTATCCAAATAATTAAACTGTCTATGTATATTTATATAAACTATTGGACAGATTTTGGTGAAATTTAGTGTGGGATATTTTTTTACTATAGAAAAATGTCAACTTTATATGCAAAAATTATAAGAATTTGTTGCATGATTGAATTTTTATGAAAAATATGAAATAAATTATGGTTATGTTCAGGAAAATGAGCTTAACCATAATTTGATTCATTTTTTTTAGTGCTTACTAAATGTGTATATATATATATATATATATATATATATATATATATATATATACAATGATATAAATATTATTTAAATATATTGTAGTAATATCCGTCCACATTTATATATATATATATATATATAAATGTGGACGGATATTACTACAATATATTTAAATAATATTTATATCATTGTTATAATAATAACTGTCTGTGCTTATATATAATTTTGTAAAAAAAGATTGTAAGTACTTAAAATTTCCATGAATTATTTGGGGTAATATGATGGGATAGTATATTATAATAGCACTATTCATAGGTGATATTTACTATTATCTGTCATAAGGATAATCAATTTGTCAAGAGTCAGTTTTAACAAACTTCAGCATCCAGGTGCAATATATAATTTACATTATGAAATTCAAAGTGAAAATTACACATTAACCTTACATAAAAATTTTAGATTGCATTAACAGAACATATTATGAGAAATCACCAATAACATAAAAAGATTTTGTATCATTTTTTTAATGGATGATAATGTAATGGTAACTTCATCTGCAGTAACGGTATACATTAGCGGAACTCCAGTGAGAAATGATAGATGATAGTGAAAAGGCAGGTCATGAATACGCAGGAATACACCTGGAATTCAGCACAATGATTTCCAGAGGGGACCACATGTAGGTCGACTCGACAGGGTATATTGCTAGCAATGAGATGGGTAGTCTACATTACTAACAATTCATTCCTGTTCTGTATACATATTTTACCAAATAGTTGATAACATTGCTCAACTGAACTAGACTGATGGAAATCATCTTGGTTAATTCTCATAGAATTTGTCACAATGGCCTAAGTAGCCTACTTTCATTTTTACCTATCATCTCTTGCCATGTATTGCATAGAACAGGCCATCCTTTCTGTGGATATCATAAAAGGTGACTAAAGGTACTTAGTGGTTGAAGGATGGGCAGCACATCCCTGTTAAAACATCACCAAAGGTCTAACTGTGGTTATCAATCCAACTGCCAAGCATAGCAACTACTCATATAACCCTCCTTATAGGGAATGCCTATGTTCACAGTTAACGGCTGATGATGATTTTATCTCTCGCTGGAGCCCTGCCTATATATACTGATAATACAGGCATGTTAAACATTCCATTATCACACATAAAAAAAATTTGCTCAACTGTACATTTTACATTTAACTTTATTATAACATTTATATATGAATTTCACTTTACTTCCAGGGAACATACAAGTAATACCTGCACACAAGTATGTATTAGCGACAGCTAGCTCTGTGTTTTATGCTATGTTTTATGGAGGACTTGCAGAGTGCAAGCAAGAAATAGAAGTGCCTGATGTTGAACCATCAGCATTCTTAACATTACTCAAGTAAGTCTCAACAAAGACCATACCTTCCTATACATATTCTTTAAGAGTATACTACTATAATCACCTATATATTTTTCAGATATGTATACTGTGATGAAATACAATTAGAAGCAGACACAGTTTTATCAACACTGTATGTTGCAAAGAAATACATTGTACCATACTTAGCAAGAGCTTGTGTCAGTTACTTGGAAACTAGTCTAACAGCAAAAAATGCATGTCTACTTCTTAGCCAGTCACGATTATTTGAGGAACCAGAATTGATGCAGAGATGCTGGGAAGTGATAGATGCTCAGGTATGTGAGTCAACTGAAAACTTAGCCACACTCTGCTTAGAACCATCTACTTCATACAGTAGCCTACTAATGGAGCTGTCAGACACTTCAAGTCAGAACTACTCGAGTCCAGAAAGTATTGAAAATCTTACCAGCAATTTGCAATAATTAATAATTAGTTAATATTAATTAATAGCTTTTAAGATATTCCTAAACACAGATGTATATAAATTATTTTTAATAATTATAACATCTTTAGGTTAATTACAAATTAGCTTTCCTTTAGATACTCAAATTCTGGCACTGTCCTAGTATTATTACATAATGATAGATAAAATTCTCACCATATCATAAGTTACTTGTGCCACAATTATATAGACTTTTGTAATTTTCGGTTGTGATTTAGGTTAAGAATAAGAAGGAGAATTTATTTAGTAAAATTGTACAAAATCACACTCTACCATTACATTCCAACAATAATATCCACTATTTGTATCTCTAGTCAATATGCCTAGACATATCTAGAATAACTGCAATACAGTTTAATGTTGTTTGCATGTTTAGTGTTAGTGTTATACAAGTGATTATTACATGTAATATTTTGTAATTTCACATAGAAATCTGAATAAATTATTAAACAAATTGTATTGCAGTTTCAATATACCTATACCTAAAACTTATTATTTCATTGTAGGCTGAGATGGCCCTAAATTCTGAAGGATTTGTAGACATTGATGTGTCTACTTTAGAATCAGTATTAGCACGCGAAACACTAAACTGCAAGGAAATAAATTTATTTGAAGCTGCATTAGCATGGGCAAATGCAGAATGTGGCCGAAGGGAAATCGAACCGACGCCAATAAACAAGAGAGCTATGCTTGGTAGTGCCATATACCTCATAAGATTTCCAACTATGACATTAGAAGAGTTTGCAAATAGTGCAGCACAACTTGGGATTTTGACGCCGCAGGAAACTATCGACATATTTTTGCATTTTACTGCATCTAGCAAACCACAACTGTCATATCCAATCAAAGCAAGAGCTGGATTAAAAGCTCAGGTAATATATAATATTTTATTTTATAATAGTTACCCATTCTTTATGAAAGTAATAACAGTGTATATTTTATTTTCAGATCTGTCACAGATTTCAATCATGTGCATACAGAAGTAACCAGTGGAGATACCGTGGTCGATGTGATTCTATACAATTTTGTGTAGACAAGAGAATATTTGTTGTTGGTTTTGGATTATATGGATCTTCAAATGGAGCAGCAGATTATAATGTTAAAATTGAATTGAAGCGCCTAGGAAGAGTATTGGCCGAAAATAACACAAAATTTTTCTCAGATGGTTCAAGTAATACCTTTCATGTATATTTTGAGAACCCGATACAAATAGAGCCTGAAACATATTATACAGCTTCAGCAATATTAGATGGAAGTGAACTAAGTTATTTTGGACAGGAAGGACTCAGTGAAGTGTATATGGGTACAGTAACTTTCCAATTTCACTGTTCATCCGAGAGTACTAATGGTACAGGTGTTCAAGGAGGTCAAATACCAGAACTAATTTATTATGGCCCAACAGTGAATACCACAATGACTAACTCGAATACAACTGAGGACTGACAATTGGGAAGAACGCGCCCTATCAATTATTACTCTGTGTAATGCAAGGTGGAAAAATTTAATTAGAACGCTCAATTATACTCTCACAAAGGTTCAATTCATATATTTATACTTAACCATTCCCAAATGTTAAAATTGTTTTGTTGAAAATATGTAAGAGTTCTTGTGTATATTGTTGAACTTGAATAGGCTTTAAGAGAACCTTAAGATTGTGATATGGGTGTTGTAAAGCTCTCTAGAAATATAGATTTAATTGAATCCATAAATCATTACAATAAACTCAAAATACCCCACATGTCTTTATATTATTTCGACAATACTACACAGATTATAAAAAATATAAATCACTTAATTATACAAAATTAAGACAAGGTTTAACAAATCGAAAGAAAATTCCAATTCTTGAACTTTCTATTGGTTGACCACACTGTAACATAATGGTTGACTGAAATTTAGCACTAAATATCTTTTACAATTCATATATACAGTTTACTTAGCATATTATAATCAGTTCTGTTCTTACCTGTTGGAGGTATTACAATGCAGAGCGCCCGCGATAATCTGAAGTAGGTGCGGCCTAGTTGGTAGCAACATATTTGTAGAGCATCACTAATATCTATCAAAAGATCTGACTTAGTGTATTAAGGAATTAATAAATAAAAGTAATAACAATTAGAAACAAATAGGAGGTCCAAACTGAACACATTTCCTGGACCACATTTTAGTATAGAGGGGTGAGGTTTACCCGTCAACTTAGAAACTGATTAATTAATTACAAAATCTCAGATTGGCTCATTTAAAATCCTTTAAAATTTGGTAAAATTTAATTTCAAACTTTATTACTTACCTGTCTACTGACTTTAGATTTATGATCATTTATAATTTTTTAATGCCATGGAAATGTTAAAATATATATATTTAAAAAAAAAAAAAGACTAATAGAACCCACCAGATATAAAACTAAATTACTAGGCATAAAACCGTTCAGAAATATAGTCGTATAAATATAGTCTAATTGCTCTCAGCAATAAGACCGCCCTACTGTACTTATACAATTGTATCGTTGTTTGTAAATTGCCTTGCTTATTTCCTATATTGTATAATGCAAATAAAGTATAATCATTCATTCATTCAAATTGAAACTACAGTATTTATGATATTCATAGTAATGTGTAAAGGTGTGTAATATCAATGAATTATGGTTTATACAATTAAGATGCTATTCCCAGTAATACAATTATTTCTAAACACTACTGTTATGAGATGATGAGATAAAAAAACACTATAAAAGTGATAATTAAAAAAAATATAGATATAAGTGATTTTTTTTATGCAACTTCAAATAAGCTGGTTGTCCACTTGATAAAATTTGATAACTCTATAGACAAGTATAGCTCATTGAACTTCATAGAATAAACATATAAATATTCTTGGGAACTAAAGACTTTGCAAGATTATGACGGATAAAGTTATGTATATGGATATTTATATGACATACAAGACTATCTGATTATATTTAAGAACAATATTTTTAAAAGGATACGATCAGTTCTCTCTGTTCTACAAGTCATATATACACAAGCTGCTTGTGTGTGTGTCGCTGGTCGTCCAATAGTGAGATGTCGAGTAAGTGCCATTTTGAAGAAGTTACATGCAATGTCTATACATTGTTGGTTTAGACGTAATTGCTGACACAATGTTGTTATGCCCTCTCTTGCTTTTCTTAAAGTTAATTCTCTGGATTCTTGCCCAATGCCTGCATTGAATGCTAAAAAATACAATTGGATTAGCATAGTTTTTTCTTCGATAACATATGACCTGTTTTACTCACTGATAATGTAGTATAGTAATGTAGTATTTTTAAAATTGATTATGTACTTTTGAGTGTATTACAAATATACAATTATATAAGATTCTGTATTACAAAAAAAAAAAAAACTTTAATTGTAATATAACTAGTTATTTTGATTTAAAAACTAAACTCCTAAACTGATTTTGATAAAATTCCTATAGGCCCAAACTGTAAGTATAATTTAATATAATTTATCATTTTTCAAACTGATAGAGTTAACCTTCTTTTTTCAGGCAGAAAAATCAATCCCTTTATAAAATATACCATTAGTTTAGATTTCTTTATAATATTAGTTTAGATTTATAACAAATAACATTGTTATTAATCTAATCTAATATATATTCAAAACTAATTCAATTCCATAACAATAAATTGTGTAATTAAAGTTGCTAATCGTAAGATACCAACTGGGTTTGTTTTACCTATTTTTATTTATATTACACTACAGTATAAAAACTACTGTTACAGTTATCCAATTCAAGTCACACAGCAGTAATATACATAAGTCTATGACATAAAAACTACCTTTTCCAGTTTTATATTTCTTTATTTATTTAGTTTCATAGTTTTATATTTCTTTATTTAGTTTCATCATATAAACCAAATTAACAAACAAGCTTATAAAAAATCACAGAAATTTATCTGGGATGCCATACATTCTACATATACATACATAGTCCCGGAGGAATAAGCATAATAAGTCTACAGAAACCACAATAATGGTTCTAAATGCACTTAATTGACATATATGTTAATTTATATATATAAAAAAACTAGCTGACCTGGCAAATATTGTTTTGCCTCCTACGGCCATTTACTAGGTTCACTTTTTTTACTGTAATAAGAATTATCTTAACTCTCACAAAAAAATACAAAACTTTATTAAAATCAGGTATCTGACTTCAGAGATTAACATAAAGAAAACTCATTACATAGGATTGTTATAAATGAAATATAATATAATAAAACAAATTTTGTGTTAAATTCCAGTGTCTACATAATAGTATACAGAAATTATCAATATTCAATCATTATTATTTTTCATACAGTGATACATATGGGTTATTAATTTGGGTAAACATGACAAATATCTATAAAACTATGGAATTAAAACTTGTCTCTTAAAATAGAATCGTATTGCGAACCAACCTCGTCCAAATCCAGTTGCACCACCTTTGGATTCAGCCGATACAAATTGTCCAATCGCCGATGCACCACCATGAGCGTTCTCTTGAAATTCAACTTCGGCAACGATTATATTGTCCTCTAACACTGTACCACAACTTGTACATACTGCATCACCTCGGGCTGGATCTACTTCAATCTCTGAAGATCCACAGTGTTTACATTTTTTGCCTGACATGGTTTAGGCCTTCATCTGGAAATATTAGAGTTAAATGCCTTTATCTAGTAAAATTTAATAACATTCCTACTTTAATATTTTACTTACCAGAATTATAGGACATTAAATTTACAGACACGGAAACTGCAAAAAACCAATTTTATTTATTGTCAGTTTAAAAAAATATTATAATATCACATGTAAAAAATACCTACAAACATTTTTGTGACTTAGTTGAACTGTCATTCACATTCATACTATCAATTTGACATATTAACGTTGATATTTGTTTCAATTATAGACAAAGATTAATATTATATAGATAGTGCAGTAGATTCAGAGGCGCCATTTTTTAAGTAATAAATTTAGTATAATGTTTTTACTATAAATCTATCTTCTCAGTGAAATCTTAGTAAGGATCATTATAAACTAAATTTATAATAAATTCAATTCAACAATTTTATAATTTTAGATTATGATGGTACATAAAATAATATCGCGAAATTATCAAATTAAAGATTTGATCAAAAAATAGGTTTAGAGAAATATGAGAGAGATGCCTTAATGAGCTCTAGTATTTTCGAAATACAGAAAGCGGTATTATTTTTAATTTATATGATTATGAGCATAAACAAAGTATGTCAATTTCTTATATTCTTTATCTATGCACAAAGAATTCTTTTTCAATGTAATTCCAAAAAAATAGGCAAATTATTAATTAAAATAATATTATTAATTCACAATTTAGTTATTTTAAAGTGCCTATAGAAATCTGAGTAGGTATTTTATGTGTACCAGGGATTTATTTTCATTATAGGTAAATTTGGTGGGTAATTTATAGCGCATAAAAAAGGCTTAGGTAACTATGGAACAAAATTTTTGAGGTAACTGTGCGATAAATCTGCACTTAAATTATAAGTACCCAATATATTAATGCTTCTTAGTTTATAAATAGTTTGTAGGTACTTTTCAACAATAAAGACCGCACTTTGTAGATATTTATTAAGTAAATGTTAGGACCGCAGTTTGTAGATATTTATTAAGTAAATGTTAGGTAAATTTAGAAGGCCGCAACTTGTCGATATCATAATATCACTTTCATTTTGTAAAAATTTTATGAAAAATAGTTCTTTCTTAATTTACTTTTCACTTAGTATTTAATTTACTTTTCCGTACCGAAGTTGATAATTTTCTGGTTTAGATAGGTAAGTTTTCTGTGTTTCGATTTTACAAGATTTAGATAAATTTATTTTGTGTATATTTTTGTAAACCTTGTCTTTTTGCTAGTTACCACTATTTATCATGTCATACTTGCCAATCTCAATGTTTATAACTTTCATCAAAAATCCGTTCTACATCTGCCAGGGTCAGCAACACTTATGACGTCATAGTCAGAATTACTTATGATTGGTAGATTATCACGCCATAGTCTGAATATAGATGTTGAGATCACCCTTCAATTTTGTATAGCTTGAAGTAGAGGGCTTAATAACAAAAAAGTATATACGTCGAAACTGACGAAAGGCGGTTAGGCTATTTTGTACATTAAAAAAACTCATGAGACGGGCATCCCCAAAGAGAGGACGACGTCATCGTGTTATGTGTACACACATAGCAATTCAGTGATGTGATGAGTCATCATTGTTGTGTTCTCGTTCGTGGTTAATCTCTTGAGAAATTTTTAGTATTTTTATTTCTTTGCTGTCATTTGGGAACTGTCAGATTAGACGTAGTGTCTGAAATATTCCAATATAAATTTGATAAAGTTTTTCTATACAGAACTGTTTATATAAAGTAGTTACAAACATTTCTAATATTAATAAAGTTCGAACAATTACGTAAATCAGTTTTTGTGTGCTGGATATTTTTTTAGTTTTGTGATAAAAACAAATCGAACTGATGACGATGAAGCTAGAAGTTAGTGACAGCCAATCTAACCATTCAGATTTCTCTTGCGATAGTCAATCTTCGCAAGGATCCTCTACAAATGATTTCATATCTTCGGTGCCTACTTCCAGGTCTTTACTTACAGTAAGTACCTGTAATCCTAGTTTCCTATCTAAGGGAAGAATATGTTGTTTTTATTTATGACCTTGATAAAATTCAATGCTATTATATATATGATACCTATTAAATATATCAAATATTTAATAGGTATCATATAATTAATAATATAAAATCTAAAGTTACTAAATATTCTATTTATATTATCTAGCTGTATCTCGCAATTTACACATACAGTCTGAGTAAATTAGGATAAAAAGTATCTTACTTTTTTTATAGGTTATAGTATACATGTACACTAAGTTTTATACTACCACCGGTGATTTTGTCCGTATTAGGATAAAAGTAACCTATCCAATGTATAGTCTAATATTAATATCTAAACATCTTTTCTCAAGCATCCATATTTAATTTATCATATTATTAGGATAAATTTTATCTAAATTAAATTGATGAACTCATGTTCAGCAGTAGTATTTTAATAGATTTTTTTTGGATGAATATAATTATCCTACAATAAATGCAATTATAAATAAAAACAGGAAAATGCGAATTGTATGTTGTAGAATATTCAAAGAGACCGGGAATGGCAATCTTTTATTGATGTTATATTATTATTGTTATTAATTTATATGTTTATCATTGTTTTATTTTTATCCCTCTATGTATAAAGTTTTTACACATTATATTTATATAATTGAGTCCATATTTAGATATTTTCGTAAAAAAGTGCTTTTTACCAAGAAATTTTATCACAATATTTTAAAAAAATATTTTTATTTTTTTTTATAATCATTTCCATTGTATGTATAGTATATATGTATATATTTGATAAAATTTCTACATATAATGTCATCTAGTGGTAATAAAGTACTGTACCACATTAAGTACCATAGTATTTAGTACTCAATAGCATTGTAAAATGTGACATTCCGACAGAATAACATATGAATAGAAAGTCAGAATTCCAATTTTTAAATGCATACAAGTGTCGAGGAAAGTGAAATAGAGGAAACATTTCAATTTCCTTTCCTGTTTAATAACCCACATTGAGGAAAGTGAAATAAAAAAAATTTTTTACCTGTTTAATATATTGAAGCAAATTGTCCAATGGATTATACTTTAAATATTATAAAAAATGTTAAACAAATAAGCAAATAATGACTTGGCTGTTAAAGTAAAAAAGATTAGCTTGTTTATAATAGATGAGTTATTTTATGATAAGATTATTTCATAAGTATGTATTAGTCATTATTATTAAAATATATCATAAACTTATGTCATTTGATAAGATGAATAGGCATAATACAGTATTTTTTAGAAATAATGTTAAAATATGAAATAGCATGTCCTAGTTCATAGTTATGTTCACTGACTCGGATAAAAAAGTATTCTATATTTTTCTCCATCCTATTATCCTATAATATATAAAATCTATAATATGTGGCCCTTTAAAGCACTAAGAGATAACAACAAAAAAACAAGCAAACTCACTTTCACATTTATAATATTAGTGAGGACAATACAATATGTATAATATACCTGTGTAATGCAAGGTACTATAACAAAATATATAAATTATTTATTTTTCCTTTTTCATATAGACTTATGTTAAAATGGATATTTTTTGTATGTTTGTATGTATTTATAATGATCTAGGTGGTGTAATTAATAAGATTTATGTAATAATACCATCCTGCTTCTGATGGTTATGGGTACAATCCACAGAAAATATAAACATTTTTATTTATGACATTTACAATAAAGTATTTATCAATGTCTATCAGATATTTAGTTTGGGATTAGATGACACTATGTAATATATCCCATGGTATTATAGAAAATTAATTAATGAATCGATTTTACAGCTGTTTTAATTTATTATTTAAATTGTCCTTAGTAAATATGCTTATTTTTAAAAGTATAAACAATCTTTGGATGTTTGTTAGGTATTTACTAAATAGAGATGAACAAATTTACATGAAATCTGGTGCACAGATAAATCATATCCTAAATTAACAGAGGATATTATTTTTCCTAATTATCATGGGTTTGGACAGAAGCAAGTGGTATTCTGTAGTCACGGATTGACTAAATGATTACCCATTGTTTATAATTTTATTTTGCAAATGTAAGCAAAATTTATTCAAGTATTGATATTATATATGATGTGCTCTGTTGCATAGTCTATTCATTAAATTCCAACTTTTGAAGCCATTATGAGTCAATGATATTTTATAAGACAGTTACCTAAGTAAAAAAGACACCTGACTTTTCTTGGTTTTCCAAGTTATAGTTATTGGTAGATTGTTATTGTGTATAAAGCAATAGGGTTATCAAGACTGATAGCAAACAATCATATAAATAAGATTGTACATTTTGTTATTTAAAAAAATATAAACAATATTGTATAATTGGTATCTCTTTATTATTATGGTAAAAATATCTATTTATACTATTATTATAAATGTTTGAGTTTATGTCTTTGTTACCTCTTAGCGCCTTAACCTTTCACTATAAATTTTTTTATGTCATATACACATACTATATGGGTTGGCAAAGAACATAGGCTACTTTTTATCATGGTCATTATGATATGTTCATTAGGTATACTTAATAATGTTTTATTTGAATTTTATTCTCACCTATTGCCATTGTAAATCTACTAATTAAAATGCAATTACGACTCCGCCAGCGCTGTTATGTACGGTTGTCATTGATTTCATAAATTTTAAAACATAGACGACTTTTGGGCGACGTCTCTTCTGGTAAATTCTGTAGATCGTTTCTTAATAATATAATTAAACTACAATAAAATTGTGTAAAAAACAGAGCACATTGCTGGCTTAACACGAATTTAAAGCAGGAAAACGGCTTGAAGTGGCGGCAGTCGCGGTCAACGCTGACGTCATTGGTTCGAGGAAAACTCGCGGTCGTGGGCCCACGCGCCGACCAATAAATAAGTAACACAACAATAATATATATGTATGAGTTGTTTGGTGAAGCAATAAGAAGGTGCGGGTTCAAAAACCGCTTATTAGAAAATATTTTTTTAAGAGTAGGGATTATTGATATTTTTAAGAAGTAAGCAGAGAAAAAGATTTCGACAACGATCTTGTTTTATACTATTTACAGAAAATGGAATTATAAGGTAACTTCGTTTATGTTAGTTGGATAACAATGAAGGATAGTGAGAATGATGAAATGAGAATGAAGTTAGATTAGTTGATCCAGCGGCAAATTTACTAGGAATTAACCACGCCGGTTTCCAGGTAGAACCGCGGGACAAAAATATTAATATTGCTTCTAATGAGGGCAGGTGTCTTTATTACTGATAATTTTTTCCCCCCATGAATACCAGTTTGTGTACATGTATATTCTACAAATGGATTTTTCTTCGCGTAGAACCCGTTTCCGTGGGAATTTTGTATATATTTACATGATTTAATTATCTTTTTTCTAAAAATACTAGCTGATCAGGCAAATGTGGATCCTACAGCCACATATCAGCTAAAACATATATTGGACAAAAACTATATGTATAAGAGAAAGATCTAAAGAGAGATATATTTTAGTTTGGAGTAAATAATACATATTAACTAAATAGAATAAATGAAGAGTTAATACTTTTGAAGAGCCTCACGGCCATCTTGACTTGATTGTATGGGAAAAAAAACAATGCCGTTTTATTTCTGATATTTCATATTGACTTGAAGTGATATGCGCAATCAATTTAAAATGATAATACGAATATAAACGCGCATGTGCGCGTTTATATTAGATATGTATCTAGGTACGTAAATAATTAAACGGTACAGAAACTCATATACATGTATGAACAATTGACATAATTAGCGAATACCTATAAGATAGGTATATTTAAGGTAATTAGATATAACTATGAAATGACATCAATAATTTTAACTTCATGTCACAAAAAGGGGAAGTTCTAAAATTGTATATATTTTTTGTGGCTATGTTATTTTTGCCTGTAATTTTTTGTAATTATTAAACGTGATTATGTCGCCAATTCTAATATTGCAAAATAATTGATCAATTCTAAGAATTGATCATTCATTTTGCAATATAGGGTTTACTATTATTTTGGTCCTATATTAATTGTGACAATTATTAATAATTATTCACACATTTTAATGTTCTTTTTTATTCGGGGATGTAAAAAAATCCTATCTAGATTGTTATTGGTTTTTGTAAATCATTCTATTGTCAAATTAAGGTTTAGATTCACATACACATATATTATACAAATATTATTTATATTTGATTTTATTTTAAAAAAGTTTCCTCTTTATTTTTGGGAATCTCCACCTTAACGTTAACTTCCTGCGTTAATCTACTATTCGTTGAATTTAATAAGTGTTTACTTGCAGATAAGAACTGAAAAGCCTTACCAACCTTGTTCTTACAAACTGGATGCATATATTTATTCAAAAATTAAAAGATTGTAAAACAAATTTAGAATACTACCTGTAATGTTACAGTATGAAAGAATCTCAGAATTGGTAGATTATAGCATAAAAACAAAACTCAATAAAAATTTCTTTAATAAAAATACAAAAATTGTTTATTGTTTTTTAGAATTTTTTACTGGGGGTAATGGGGTAAGGAGTGCAGACTCCAAACCCGCAGAAGGACTTAAAGAACAGCTTTCTCTTGCTTACCGGTTACGGAAGATTATGTATTATATCGCATCTTGAGTCTTCGTATCGTATCACAGTATAGAACGAAGCTGCTTGATGATAGAAACATGTGAATTAGCAGTGCAATATGTGACCTAACCTACTCGAATTGTACCAACCCCATTGCTAGCAATATTATCTGTCGCTGACTTACCCGTTTCCCCTTGAAACCATCGTGCTTAATACCGAGTCAATTCATCACGATGGGTTAACCGAGCTACCTTTTCATTCTCACCTATCTTCCCACACTGGTACTCCGCCAGTGTATACCGTTAAGCGGGGCTAGTATTCTATTATCACCTATTAAAAATATCACCGAATTTGTTGTTTGCTATCATTTTAATGTACAGAAAAGCTTGTTAACAGGCATAGTATTAATGTACAATTTAGAAACAAATTTCTTTGTAATTAATTACGAAAATGTAGGTATATAATATGTAGTGGTTTTCAAGATAAACAATCAACAAAAGGTGAATCACGTTCAGGGTATAGTTCAAGGGTGTAAGTGGCACGCGAGCCAAGGCTTCCAGTAGTTCGACCCCTTTTTCCACGAACTCGGACTCATTTCTACGCGTTGCGGCCGCGATCACTATCAAGTACAAAGCGTGTTGTCATACTATCGATCACCTAGATTTACGAATATGACACGTGAATATAAAATATAAAATAAGAAAAAAAAATCCCGGCTTTGTTGACATTGGCAAACACCGCACAACAACTCGTTTGTTTTTTTATTTCCTCGGAATTTTTCCGAACCCTTTGTTTGTTAGTTGATTATTATATATTTTTTTATGATATGCCACACAAGCTTATGAAATGTATAACCGTCATCTATAGATCGCGATATGAACATCACAGAATGCACTGTATTCTTCATCCGTTGATATTCTACATCATATTACGTTTGTAGTTTTTATAATTACAGAGTTATTAAGTATCATTGTATAAATTTTATTAATTACGGAACTCTACATGGGTAGATAATAATGATTTTTTAAAGTATGATAGAAACTATTTAAGTACTTATACGATTATGGTAAACGGTCGCACTGAGTTTGTTCCTTATGATTTTATTGGTGTTGTAGTATAGTTAATGATGTATACATCAAAAATGTGTACAATTTAAGTTGGATAACTATTTTCTAATTATTGACAAAGAACGGTTAGGGAGAACTAATAATGAAAATTTTGTAAAAGAATTTCTACAATGAGATAATATCATAAAGTGTAAGAATAAGAAGAATAAGAATAATTTATTTGCTCGAAATGTGGTACAAAGGTCTTAAATGGTAACTGAGCTACACATTTCGCCTTATCTAAAGGCATGCAAATTTTGTCTTAGCACATGTTAAGTAAAAATTTATCAATTATGTATGTCCAAATAATTATTTTAAATACATAATAATAGGTACAAACTTAATTTACGAATTGCAAGTTTTTGGAATATAGATACTGGCATTCTTTATTAATGATATCATGTCTAGAATCCACCATGACAATAAACCATGTCTTATCAATTACGATTGAATTGAAGATCTTACGGTAAATACTCGTAAGAAAATGATCTCATGAAGCACCTATGCGGTTAAAAATAGTATTTACATCATTAAACTATTTTTAATAGGTGTGTTACTTTTATATTGTTTTTAGAGGTATTTGCTCAAGTTCTAAGCTGCTAATAATTTTATTGTATTACTTAATTAAAAAAATAATATTATAATAAAATATATAATTATTATATTTAGCTTATAATAAAAACGAAATAGATTATAATCTATTAGTATACATTATAAAGAGAAAAGATTTGATTTTTTTCTATAGAAAGCTATTTTAGTAACGAGTAACGTATATATTCATTTCAACTATAAACATCAATAAAAATCAGAGATCCCCTATAGACGTGAATAGTATACCATGGACATAACAGAGTATACTGTGTTGCCTATTATGCGTCGCCATTCCTGTGGACTAAGCTATTTATGCATACCCGTGCGAAGCTGGGGCCGATCGCTAGTTTTGAATAAAAAATAAAAGTCATTTCCGACTAAGGAAAATTAGTTTGTTCAGTTCATTGGGCACTGAATTTTAATAAAGAATATAAATTCTAAAGAAGCTCTTAACCACCTTGACTAACATTCTAAGTATCAACTGCTTACCTCCCAAAAGAAATGGCGGGAAAATAGATACACATACTATACATATTATAAGGAAAAATATAATATAAATAAGATTATCAGTTTGTCAGTCGTTATTTTTTGTTATACCGCTTCTTGTTATCGAAAATAATATGAATTACGTAAAAACTATTATTTATCAGTGACTTCACCTTATATTGTACGTATTTTCTATCTAAAGCGTATCAGACGGCGTGTTACAGGTGTGCTTGGACGTCATTGGTGTTGCTGTTGATGTTATGTCACATTTACTAGAAAATGAGTCCCTATCAATATCCTGCTTATGGAAATATGAGTACCTAATGGAGGAAAACGTATTGATATTTTAGAGTATTACCGAATTGGATTATGTGAAATAGCACTTTTTTGGTTAGGGAATGGGAAAACCATTAAACCCAATTGGGATGACTCGGACCTAAATTGTAGACAGTGATGCTTTATTCGTCATGTAATTTTTTAATATTTTTTTTAATTAAGATCACACTAAAAATTTGTAATAAAGGATTTAGGCTTTTCATTAATTAAAGTTATGTGAAATAGCACAATGTTATTTATTAACGGTGGTACGTAGGACATTTAGGAATTATTGTACTGATGGAACCTCAACTCTTTATATTCATAGAAAATCAAGGAAAAATTGCATTTTAAAAAGTCCTATGTCTAGTCATTTAAAAAAAAAAACAGGACAAGAAGACCTTACCAGTTTCTTTTAAAAATTTTTGCATTGGGATTGGTAAATTTTTACAATAGTAGTTTTCGCTTCTGAAACGGGCAGGCGAGTAATGAAAAATGCTGATTATTAATAAATTTTAAAACAGAATATATACAAGTCTCTCGTTCTCGTTGCCTGTCATATTGCACAAATTACAATTCTAAACACCATGAATAAAATTTGATCAAAGGTTCGAATTGTATTTTTAAGGAATATATATGTATGTTTTTAATGTTCTTAAGGCAGTTGTTAGATCCCATTAATAATCTCTTTCCCCCCTAAGGCAATATATAATTCCTAAAAGAACGAATTATAAGGAGCTACAACGGAAAATTACTCAAAAATAAAGATATTTATTTGATTGTTGTAATAAAAGATCTAGACTTTGGATGGAAGGCAAAATTCTACGACGCTTGTGCGTTTAATAATGATTGTTTACCTATTATTATTTTAAATTGCTTATTACATTTGACGACACCATGTATGTAATCAATATATTAAAATATAACTAAGTGTATTATTGATATAAGAACGTATTATATGCAGATTAAGCAGCTACATTACAATATGTCCGTGTTTTTATACTCATATTATAGAACATGATTCATTTCGTTAATAGCAATTTCTTTTGTGTTAACTAACCGATGCGGTTATCAAAGTCTATTCGCAGCGATCTGGTATTGTTAACTTCCGAAGATGTGTATTTCTATTTACCATTTGTATTGCTTAGGTAATCAAAACAATTTTTTTCTCACGAAAAAGTGTGGATCATCCAGAAATTTTTGGCAACATCAAAGCACAAATTCATAATTGCAAAAATTGTTTCATACTGTCATAAGGAAAGAATTCTTCGATTCATTGGAATTTAAAGTTAAGAAATGCACCGAGTATCTGTGTGTTTTGGCTCAGTAGACAAATTGTTGGAATATTTAGTGACATATGACGTTCTGTCGTCGAGAATGTATTTGCGCGCGTGCGCGGTACAGTTGCCCGCCATCCTACAAAACCGGCCATCAGCGACCTAACTGACTCAGTCTGATATAAAACATTCTAGCTGTATGTTCGCTCATAGTTGATAGCACTCGTCGTATGACTCATACCCTTATCAATCTTATCATAGTGATTTGTAAAGCGGTTCCTGAATTTTGCGAACTTTTTCCCAGTGTTCTTTTATTGTTGATCCTTTTTAATAATTTTTGGGACGGTTGTTGTGAAAACTTGCCTTCATGTCTCAGTTGGTGCCATACTACCTGAACGGCGAGCAAGACGACAGTCTAATGTTCGCTACCATGTTCGAGTACCAAACAGATGAATATAACAAGCCAATGGTGAGTTTTTGTCACATAACTATTTATTAATAATTTTATAAGTAGTTGTTACACAAAAAGTTTTGTGTCGTAGTTTGCGCGTTCAAAGTTTGTAAATAACTTTCTCTATTTCGTTGCTTAGTTTCTCGATATTTCGTAAGAATTCATTTAAATTACGTTTACTTTTATTACTTTTTGGTGTCATTAGATAATTACTTTTTTTTTATAGAATTAATAGACATTGACCTATACATATGTTTCTCTTCGTTTATGAGCGAAATAGCAGTATGTTACATTATTATTACAGGAAATGCAATTGTTTTTAATATTATGTAAAATGTTCAAATTCGCATCTAAATACTAAATTGTAGAAATTTTAAATTTATTATATTAATGAATATTAATAATAATGTTTAAGTATCAAGTCCTAAAAGTGTGTACATAACCTGACGTAACGATACCTATTTGTATCATCAATACCTATCATAAAATTCTATAAATAAGTAATAACATATCTATTAAATAATTTAAAAAAAATTCTAAGTATAATTAAAAAATGACTACTGCTTTAAAGTGAAAATATAAACAATTTGTATTAATTATTTTAAATTTATTGTTAAGTTTGATAGATGGCGTTGTACGTTGTAAAATACTCTACAATCTGTTTGGCAATGGTATTAAAATACTTAGGTATGTGTGTAGCGATATGAATTAACTATGATAAATTACTGACAAGCGCATTGCTTTTAGGTCGTTATCACTGAAATAACAATAGTTGATATTAACGCGATCAAGTAAGTAAAATATAATAATTATTCTAAGGTTTTCTCGATGATTCTACCGGGTTACTAGCATGACAACGTTAATTTTTATCTCTTATAAACTATCCAGATTAAACGTGAAAGTTTAAAAGCTAATAAAACTTATATTTTTACTTTTATCGTAACATATTCAATTGTGTTTATCAACGTAATATATTTATTACTTGATACCCGTTGTTAATTTACTACAATTGTTACTTTTCTTGGGAATCTTCCTTGAAAACCTAAATTTGTTACGTCACTGATCGCGCTATAACATGCCGTCATACTATGACGTCATCGTCGCCCCTCTACCATATCGCCGCCGCTCGAGCGCTTGGAGTTCCACGAACTCACTAGTAAAATAGCAAATTACCTGTACAGCTGGTTTGTACTTGAACATTTAAGTATGTAATTAGTTTATATAGTTAAATGTGATCTTTAAACTTTAGTGTCAGAAATTGGAAATGATAAAAAACTTTTTTTACCAGATCTTTGGATATTCAACGTTAATGCCCTAATTATAATGCCTAGTTCAATTACGTCTAGTTGTATGGTTTAATTACTTACTGATTTTTTGGAGTACAAAATTTGCAGTTATATAGGCATAGCTAAGAGATATATAACCTACTTTATTACCAACAATGGGCTACCTGTTATTCTTCCTCAATTGTTTAATTGTCAACATCTAGTTCAAACCTGCATTTTCTGCGGTGACTGGTGTAGAAAAAAAATAATAGTATGGATTCATTATAAATGTATTCAATATTTTACCATGTAGATAAACAGAAAGATCTCGAAGTTTCTCGTTCAGATAGATTTCTTGTTAATTTACGTTATTTAACAAATGCGTTTACAAACACAGTAAACGAATTTGTTAGCAATATCTGAGAGAATTGTAGTACATAAAGCTTGCCTTAACCAGATCTTTTGTTTAGTTCTGGTGTAATAAGAAATTATTTTAGGTAGAACAGGACCGCACAATGAACAGACAACAATTGTTTGTATTATTAGCAACATAACTCATTGTACCATTGTAAGGTACTTCATTGATAAAATGTTTTATACACATTATTTAGCACACCACTACCCTGGGTTACTGAAAGGCTAAAGCATTGAAATTTATGTTATAGTCTGGGGGTTCAACACAAAACGCATTATTTTGGTCCCATTCTTATATGCGCATTTCTTCAATCTACATTATTTAAATGTTATCATTGATAGCACATTTTTTTATCATATGATCATGCGTCACGCAAGCGTGATTCCAGTTGTAAATTAGTTACATGTTTAAACTGCATGGACGTGCTTCCACTCACGAACTTAAAAAAATCAGGATAATATACAAAAATATATGTAAACAAGGTTATCAATATATAGACGTCAACAAGTAAACCACAGAGTTGTTTACTTTCAAAAACATTACTAATCCTATGCATGAATGAAATCCTTGGGTTAAACCAATAGGTATAGTGCTATTCAACAATGTTGGACATCATTATTTATATGGTCTTATACCTAATAATATACGGATAATTCGATATTGTAGTTTTTGTTCTTGTTATAGATACCTATTTATTGTATTGCATAGGTACTAGAACAACTGATCTTTAAGGATCTGATAAATGAGGCTGTCAATTGCGCAATAACACAACCGGATTTGTCGGTTGCCGTCGACGACGGCGGCGCACGCGCAACCTTTGCGAGGCGAAACATCAAGTCCGGCTGACTTGACCTACATCGCGCTTGTGAAATTTCTCCAGCGCTGCGCACTTCCAAGAACTATCTTCTGGGGAATCCCAATGCCTCGCTGCAAAATTGGTATTGATTTACCTGGTTCTTCTTTAAAATTAATTCACTAAAACTTCTTGTTGCTTTTGTCCAGATATATATTTTGTAACACGAAAGCAAGATTACATTCCGTAATAATATTACAAATATTGTAGTGTTCAATTTATAACTCTTGATGCCTTAACTGCTGAATCTTCATATTTAAGATGCACATGGACACAGGTTCCGTGAACACGGACGAAGTCGCGGGATTAAACTAGTTATTAAAATTACAGGTAGTGGTTATGATTGATTGATTAATAATAAATTAGTGTTATGTCATGTCATATGGAATGTCTCACTATCAATATCAACAATGTCATTCTCCATCTCAATTTTATAGAGACCTGTCTGAGTAATACCAATGATTGACCTCGTGAACTCGAGCAGATGGTTTCTATTGACCAACACCTATTTAATGACCTAGCTAATGTAGCCAATACAAGCCGGATGTGCACAATTTAGTCTAATTCGTACGGGAATTAGAAGAGACGTACTACTTTATGTAGTACTTTACAAAGAAAATGGTTGTGTTTTAAATGTTATCGTGGGTACTAGATTTGTTCTCAGCGTAATTCCAGCAAAACTGGTTCGACATATTATACCGTTTCTAAATGTGTTAGCTAATTTGAATAGCTCATTCTCAGAATAAAATTACTCATCGTCGCTCGTCGGAAGTAAACAATTTATAAGAACATATGACAAAAAATAGGTGTTTTTTTTTTACAGTCAATATGTAAAGTTAGATATATATTAAGAGAAATTATAATACAATTATAAATCATGGTTGAAATCCCAAGAATGTTAGTCGCTTCCGATATAAAACGTCGATGTAGGTAAAAATCGCAGCCGCAACACCTGTGGCTTTGTCATGACGTCATAAACAAGGCATGTGTTAGCGAACGTGGTGATTTTCGCGTCCACCGTCTTGTTTTAGTAGCAAATATAAGCAAAATGAAAATGCATCCACTTGAAAATGGTAGCTAGACCTGAGTAAGGGGAGCTTTATGTAGGTAGAGCTGCACAGTCGTAACTATAAAGACGAAAGTGACTAGTTTATTGTTTCTCTCGAAGATAATTTACCGACGTTATCCGCTGTGGGCCATTATCTAGTTCGGTACGTTTCCTTAACCTTTGTTGCTTTACAATATCTTTGTAAGAGTACCAACTTCCCTAAATTACCACACAGGTAAAATGTTTGTTTCTTATCTAAGCATATTTAGTATCCAAAAAGGTATTAACAACAATCTTTTTACTTCCAGATAGTAAGAACACAAAGTAAAGTTATTAAAGACCGTTTAAAAGTTATTTTTACCGGCAACCAATTTGTCTTTCGACGAATGCCACAAGCATTGATAAAAAAGGCAAAAAGTTAAACGTTCGATGTGACAGGTATGCTGTAGTATCTTTATTGTAGAAAACACATTGTTACCTGTCTGTCGGGGGCACTATTTCGAATGCACTGTTGTTACTTTGTCAAATTGTAACCACCCACGATGGATTAATTATCCCTGGTCGCTTTCACTGTACTTATAGTAACCTCTGTTTTATCTAAGTATACTATTATCTAAGTTATTAGTTACTATTTAGTTTACTATTATTGTATATTTGTATCTAGATGTAAAATGTTCTTGTGTTGTGTCATTTTACTTAAATTTAAGTAATGTTAGTAGTGGGTCAACTACTGATTTTATTAGATTATAAAACATTGATTTACAATTGAAATTATTAAATATTATACTATTAAGACTTCATAACATTACTCTCAATAATTTAAATTAATTAACTGTTTAATATACACAATATAATATTTTAGGTTAGAAAATGTACATATAATTATAATAACCACAATTTAACAATAAATGTATTTATAATAGACATGTACCTATATAATCAACAGGAAAAGAGCATTTACAAAGAAACATAACTCTCGTTATATTAACATAATGTTTAGTCTTTTAACAAATGAATGCATTCTATAAAATTGTGTTCTATATAAATTGAACTTCCTGTTTATTCTATAGAAGTAGACGTAAATGATAAAATTAAAAAGACAAAGGGTTTGTTGAAGTAGTGCAGAATTAATTGCTATTGTGATCTACAATGTTCATTTATAGATATCTAGTTTTGTTAATAAATACTCATTGCAGTAATAAATTAATGGTGTATCTGTCCTTTCAGAATTAAAACTATATCACTACTTAATGTAGCAAGACGAATCGCGATAGAATTTTAGCCACAGACCTATTTTAGCTATGGCTGCTCTATTGGTTCTCTACGCGCTTTTGTCTTCGTTAAAAATAAATGCACGCAATTCTTTTAAAATATTAGGATTCTTTACACGGTCTTTTTGTAATGATAAACACACTCAAAATTCTCCGAACTGTTACCAATAGCGTTTTGCCAATATTTGTCATAATTTCAAGTCGTTATGTTTTGTTTGTGTAACTGTCGGCTTTGCCCAACATTCTAAAATCTATTCGTCTGAACAACAATGCATTCATATAAAAATATAAAGCCATAAAATTTGAACATGGGAATACTTTGTTATTTAAACTACATAAGTGTTTCTTAGATTTAACGGGGTGTTTGAAACAGTCAATATAAACAATTGCATCGGCTTCTGGTGGGTTCAGGAATTCCGTTAAAGGTCTCGAATCCATATTGAATGAGTCATAGTAACCCCGAACCGAAAGATATTTCAACGGGCATTCTAAACATTCCATTCGTTTATCCAAACTGATCGACTACAGCTTGGTTATAGATCTCCTTGTATATTACTATTGTATAAATTAATGAATGTTTCATAAACATTATTTGTATCATATGAATTAAATATTCTTTGTTTTATAAAGTAATTATTATAATTATAATAAGAAGCAGATACATAACAACAGCTGCTTAGTCCTTGTACCAGTTATGGGCAAGAATCGTGCTTACAGCTCTAAAGATTACTGACATTTTCTATGTTTCCGCCTTGAGTGCCTTATTAAAGGATGTCATACTTGGAGTGCATTCGCACGTGCATTGTACCTACGAGTCTCATTGTTATTGTAATATTATAATCAAGACATTCGTGACCTACATAATCGTCTTCATTTGTTCATCGATATTTCTAGTATTTTTACGATTCAACAAAATCTTTACCATTATCATGCAGATATAGCTAATCGTATATTCTTGTAACATTTAATAGATTTAGTTAGTAAAAAAAATAATGAAATCATTAAATTCCTTTCGATTATACATGATATGTGGGACTTGACCGTTCAATCATAATCTTAAAGGGTTTGAAATGTTTATCATTCCATCAAACTTAGTAACAACACTAGTACAAATGTTGCTACGCGCACCACTCCCGCCCACAACAAAGTTTGATATACGACACAATAACTGCAATTCCCAATACCGCCCGACGCCATTATTTAATGAACCCTCGTCAGATGAAAAGGTCAAATTATTTAAAAAGATTAATCTTATAATTTATGTGGGTCTAACGCGCCTCGCCAGATTTCTCGGCTGACAGACCGGAGTTATATGACATTGATTTTATGTAGACAACACAAAAGAAATTTGAGATCATTTTTTACTCCACATCAACTACAATAACTGTAGGATCGTTCCTCAATTGTATTTTAAATATTTTGATGAATGCATTTTTTATTAATCCGAGTGCATGTATTTGGTAGTAAATCCTGTCTATAAAATAAATTGTCCAATCGTGAAGAATAATTTGTGCGGGCACGTCGCGCCGTCGAGCGAGAGTAATGCACTCGTAAATGTTTACTGCTGTGGCTGCGTTTTCAACAGCAATGTTTTTTAAATCATTTTTCGAGATCTCTCGCGCATTTGCAGCAGTTTTAACATTGAAGACTTTTATTGACGCACAATATTTTAGTTTTATGATGTTCCATTCATTTCATGTGAAAATTAAGCCAGTGTGATCTCGAATGATTGCTTTTGCATTTGCCAATTCGTTTTTGCATACGATATTTAATTAGCTTTACGTTGAACACTGTATACAGTTTTTATTAAAATGAGAAATTGATACTATTTTGCGACCAACAAGTATGTAATGAACCAAATTTTTTTAGGATCATATTTTCTAACCTCCATTGTTTGCAATACATAATTCACAAAATCGCAATATCAGTACGTTATGCGATTTTGTTAATTATGTATGTATGTATTTAAGAACAATGTCTTTATTATTTTATCAACTAAAATCATGTGACAGATTTAAATAGCTATGTCCGATAATATATTTAATATTTGGAAATTTTAAATAGCGGCAAACATTAAATATATATTAGTTATTCCGTAGCCAATGTATTTAGATAAGAGCTAATATAAATTTGAGTATTTAGAATAATAATAAAAATTAATGGTTCTCATATGACTTACTTACCGTAATTCTTTGAAACCGATTTTGTATTTAGTAACGCCTACACAATTCTTGATTGTAATACTCTTGTAAAAGGTCACACGTTATGATTCTGGATTTCCGTTTTAAGTCGTAGTTTGTTAAAGTTCAAAATCAAGACTTTTATGCAGTGTATAACATTTTCACAGTAGGTATGTCCATCGTCATTAAGCCGTAACATCGGCATTGTTTTGTGCTACGTATTTGCCATTACGTGTTTTTCGATCATTGAACTTGTAAAACCTATGGGAGGTGACACTATGTCATTGCCTCCTTGATCGATTGTCATGGTATGTTATTCTATTTTAGTATAGGTAAAATCAAAAACATGTATTTGATCTCTCAAGAAAAACAACACGAAGAATTTTTTTCAAAACAGAAATAGGGTTATAATTATCTCAAGTTATAACCTAATTTTATATTTGATTTGAAAAGGCTTTTGATTAATATTTGAAGTTAAGATTTTGATGATTGAATAGTGATACTTTAACCTCTAAAGTTAAAAGACAGGAAAGTTAATAATACATTAACTTTCCTGTCTTTCAGTCGCCAAATACATTAATATTTATTAACAATAGAAAATATTTGTAGATAATGATTTATTTCAAATTTGCTGCAATCTACAGTATTGTGATTTTCTAGAAATGGTGTGCATAATAGTTATTCTATTTCAATGCTTCTTAGGTGAGCATCGCTGCGAGTTATTCTTGCTCGGCATGCTTGTACTAATTGAATTATTCCGTTTATGTATCGAAACGAACGCGTTGCATATTGAATTTCTGTTCGTCTGACGCACCTCTACGCCCAATTAGGAGGACACTAAAAAGGCTGTACTTTTGTTCGCGCCTCATTGTTCTCTTCGGTATCTGGGCGGCCGCCATGGTTTCGCAACAGTGGCCCCTGTTCCCTCGTCTTTTTAAGGAGTCGAAAGTTGTACATTTTCCGCAATACGCGACTCGTTGTGCAGTTGTGAAATTTGCGTAGGTGCAATGCATAATGCGCGGGGGCCTGTCTGGTCGGCGCGACGAGGTCTTCGGTGGCGACGGTAACAACGGCGACGGTGGCATAGTTGGGTGCTGAGGGGCGGCCGGTGGTGTTTACGATGCACCGGTGCGGCGGCGCCGAGTGGGGCGTAGGCGTCGCCGGGGGGCGTCGCGCCAGGCTTATCAGACAGTGGCGGGGCCGGCGCGCGAGCCTCACTCCACGGTCTACCGCTGGCCGCGCGGCTCGTGTCGTACACGCTTGCTGACACCGGTTTTAGATAACAAAAACCTTTGTCCAGTCGAAGCAATAATATTTACAAAGTGCGTCCTCTGCGTCGTATAGTCGCTGAGGGGTTTTCCGACACCGACCGATATCTTGTAACCTATTGTTTTAGTAGTGCGCACGCGTGTTTCGATCTTGTGATTACAAGTTCTGACAAGTTTTTGACATTCTCTGGTTGTTTAATTTATTTTGCGCTGTGAATTAGTGTCCATAATTGGATTGCAGTTTGTGGAAATTGGTAAGTTTAGAAAATACTATCCGTCATGTAAATAAGGGTGGATTATAGTGCTTATTTTTTATAGTTTAGGTAACTCATTGCACCATACGTATCTGAAATTGTCAACATTGCATCATTACCTATTTATCTGAATTCCTATTTATTGGTAGCTGTTTATCAGTTCCTGTTTGTTAAGGTGAAATTTTGTAATGTTTATTATTGATTGAGGGATATCATCTCACGTGTTGGTGTCTCATCATGATGCGCATATGACGCCGCGACGCTGCGCGGGCGCACCGTGTCATCGTTCGCGGTCAGTTGAACGAACCCTCGGCCGACCGACGTCAACCTTGCCATAATCGCGATTATTTGCATCGGCATTGTACCCAGTGGACTGTAAGCGTGTCTCTAATTGTCTCACCATCAAGAAACACAAATCTTTAATTTACCCTTGTCCACTTACCTTCTCTCCTTTAAACCTCTTTTTGTCGCCATTACGGTCTAATATTGCTGATCAAGTTTGTAAATGAAATTAAGATTTCTTGAAATCATTAAATGTAACACAATTGTAACTGTCTTCTCAACAGAAAAATATTTTACTTAATTTCTCTAACATGGGTGTAGAAAAGAATTTGAAGTTAATAGTAAAATGATATATTTCGTATATATATTAACAAGTTTTGTTGAAATTATCATAGATACTTCTTAAATTACTAATTTACGAATAATTTTCAATACTAACGAATTGAAACGTTCGCTTAGATATCAGCAGATTATCTTATGGACAAGTCAATTATTCGTTTGTTAAATTTTTTGTATAATGAAGTTCTGTTGAAACAGACTTGGTATAAAGTGATTATCTTCTGCGTTGCTTTATGGGTGCGGTAACATACAGTTTTCACAATAATTTATTATACAAAGTATCTATGATAGTTATAATAAGAACTTACCATGGTACATGATAAGATATACTCGAGTATCGCTGTAAACAATAGCTGAATGTGGAATTCCGGATTGACCGACTGATAACATAAAACAGCTATGATAATAGATGGATTTAAAGGAATTTACAGAATTAAATATAGATCAAATCGTGTAGAAAACAATAGCTTTGTATAAGAAACTGAAGTCAAATGAATCCTAAATAAAGCTGCTACAGCTAAATAAGAATTGAATAAGAGAAATGCTGCACTTTTCGAAAATAATAAAATGTTAATGACGATAATCACTTCATTTATCTTACAACATTCT